GACTTTCGTTTAATTACAACCTCTAAAATTAACTTTAGTAAAATTCACATATCCCGGTCAATGACCTAAGATTCCCTCTCGGTCCATTCAATCTCTCTTGATAGCAACCAGAAAGGAAAATTTTGAATCAGATCGTAGTAGTTTTAAGTCCTTCCCATATGGGCTCCTGCTGAGGCCAATTACAGCGGGCCCGGAATTAGGTTGTTATGAGGTTAAATAAAACAAAAGCATCGGCAAAGAATAAAAACAATCCCGCCGCAGCCAAATGCGCCACGCCTCTCTTTAGATTCTGAATTCCAGGATAAAGTCGATCCACACCTGTTTTCTGAGCATTCCTCCTAAATGCAACTTCACTTAAAGGCCTAACGCGAGGCTGTTTTCGAGAACCAGCAGATGAGTCATGAGTTGTGTCATCATTTCCCCTACAACTGTTCCCAGTAACCCTTTGTCAATGATTTCCAGTACTTTGTCCACATTCAAAACAACTTCTTGACCTGACACTTTTTCGGCGCTCTAAAGCTTTCCTTAGATAATAAATCTAAGGAAAACTGTACAGCGATGAAATAGTGTCCTAATTCTGAAAGCCAGGATGAAGCCGTTCAATTACTGGTTTTTCGTTCTTCCTTCTTCTTTTTCTTTCTTTCTCTCTCTCTCTTTTTTCTTTCCTTCCCTTTCTTTTAAACGCGAATTTGCGCCAACCGCTCGGACAGAAAACATCTTAATGTTCCTTTTGGTCTCTGGAGGAAGACTGCAGCTTTTCATGAGAATCGCCACTCTCCAGAAATGTCTTTTTCTCGAGATAAACTGAGTCAGTTTTTCATGCACTGGCAGCCACCGATTCAATATCTGGAACATTTTCGTAAGTAATTGTCCATCTGCGACCAATTCCTCTCCACCTGATCAGGAGTTTGGATCTGGTGCTGTTTGGCCGTTCCAAACTTTCCTTTCCAGGGTGGACCTGTCCAATGCTACTGTTTTTTGTCTTCCTTTTTTCACAACTCAGTTGAGGAGACCGGAGAAAAACGCCAAAAACCATGTAACATTGATCCACAAATTTCCAGGAAAGTCCTGTGGAGACGTGTGAGGCCGAGCGATTAACACCTCGAACTTCGGGGTTCATGCCTCGCCCGTCGCGTTGTTTCCTTAGACAAGGAACTTTACTCCCCTTTGTCCCTCTTTACCCAGGTGTATGCGTACCGGCAACATACTGTACGGGGGTAACCCTGCGATGAACTAGCATCCCTTCCGGGGGGGTGGAGTAGCAATACTCCTAGGCATGCTTCGTGCTAAGGAAACCGGGATAAGCTCCGGCGTTTGGGCCTTTGGCTCGTGTGCGCCCTTCCAACTAAGAGGAAAATTAGATTCACGATCAGCCTGAACGTTCAAATTTTCCTTTAGATTGCAAGAACCAAAACACTCTGGGCCATGAATATCATGAGGGGACCTTTGCTTTGAATTGCCTTCTTGGTTGGCCGCCTTGTTCAGAAAGGTCCTCATTGGCAGTAGACCCTTCCGTACAGTACTCTATTGTCTTGCCTCTGATTTTCCAAGTACTTTTTTTTCCATTTCAAGTGTTTCAAAGCCACATTTAACAATAAAATGAATGGAAATTTGGAATTCTCCTTTGAGTCTAAAGACCAAGAATTAACTCGGATTAAGATTGCTATCAATATCAAGCCACGGCGAAGAACTTGGGTTTTCTCTCTTATTATTCTTCAACCCTTTGAGAATCGGCTTTCTGTCCATAACAACCGTCATCTGTTGTATTTTCTCCTTTTCATTTTGACAAAAGGAGAAAAGTTTCCCAACGTGTTGATCGTGGAAAGAAGACTTTGAGAAATTGTTCTTTAGCTTTGAAGCCTTTGAAGACCGCGAGGTGAACATTAATGGTGTGTGAGATTCTTATCACTTTTCTTGGAATGCGACCTTCTCAGCCGGAGAAATCTTGTTGTTTTCTAAACCCCTTTTTCAGTTTCTTGACCTTGGCTTTTTCTCGACTTGAACATCCTGACCTCTGCCTTTGCTTGCACCGCATTCACGAACAGTCGTTGATTGTTCGTCGCGCTCCTTATAGCCGCAAATGTCGAAAAAGTTTCTTCATCGGCGACTGAAATTTGTCGTTGACGCTCAAAAACTTTATCCTTTTCTGTTCGAAATATGACGCAAGGCAAAAACTGAAAAATTAACTGTCCAAGCCAGGTCAACCCTTCGCAGAGGGCAGCCATACTTCGGATTTTAACTGGCTCGAATTCAGTGTATGACGTAACAAATGAATAGGATGACGAGTGAGTCGGTCATTGTAAGCGCGTTCATTGCATGTAGAAACAAGAAAAAAATAACCAGGAGTAATGGGAAATTAAAATAGAGCATCCGAAAAGCTTTTTAGCTGATGGAAAAGTGTAGGATTTCCGGCGTAGATATTGATGCTGATGGATATGATCGAGTATGCAAATAATTTGAAACTTAACTGTTGGCGCGTGCACCAAGTTTAGATTTGCGATCATGACAGATTTCCCCTTTCTAATTTGAAATTCCAAAACGCGCGCATATTTTCTATTTTCTCAACTCCCATAGCACACCTTATTTTGCATAACTGTCTTTGTTTCTTATGGACGGAAATTTAAATTGAAACGTTAACAATAAAAACGAAAATTGAAGGTAGAATGTATAAAGCAAACTGAAAAAAGACTTAAACGAAAGAAATGCTAAAAAAGAATTAGAGATAAATTGTGTAGTCAGTATGGCCTCTATGATCCTATTATTTATCCTTAGCTTCCCACAAAAGCCGAAGTGAACTACACGCCTGAACAGAAAACAGAGCAAGAAGAAGAGTGTTCCCCCTTACAGTATTTTGAAGTATTTCCTGCGACTTTTATTTCCTATCCCATATCAAGCAGTACCCATTCTAGATTGAGTTCAAAAGTTCACAATGGTTCTAGTCTTCTTCGCAGCCACTTGGGCCGGAGTAACACAAGCTCCCCGCCCCCTGAAGCAACCAGGGTAATTTCCTTGATGACAGTTGAGGATACTGCCTCGAAGATCACTCTGACTATCAGAGTATAAAAACACTACTCGTGGTTGGAATGGGCGTAACTCCTGGAAAGAGAAATGTTTGCCTCCTTGATGGAACAGGAGTAGACTGAGCTAGCGATATGGAATGAGTAGTACAAGTAGCAGGCCTCCGCATTGTTTAGGCGTTCTTTCTCTCTCGGTGACGTCACAGCTCACGGTAGAACCGAGCCGAGAACGCCTCGGGACTAGGCTGAATATTCCACACTGTGCTGAATCGAAGACATTTCGCAGCGTTAACAACTCGCACATTGTCGTTCGCAGTCTCTTTTTTCCCTCAAACTTTCCCTATTTTTAAAGACACTCAGCAGCTCTTGTTTGATTTCTTACAGTTTCTCCTCTGCTCTATCGAACTTGATCAACCGTGGAAACACTGTCGGCAAACAAGCAAATAGGTGTCCTTGTCGTATTTTTTCACGCCAAATTCCACCAAAGATCGAATGATTCCGGCTAAATTTGAGAAAGTTTTTCCAAATACATAAACCTTGTTTTCACTTGTAGGAATAGAAGAACAAATAAAACACTTACTGGAGTATCTCCCATCCTTTTTTATAATAAACCGTCGTGTGACTGGACGGCAAGGGTTTTTCTGTGATTGGTGCAGCGTATACAATAACAACTAATAAAACGAGCTGCTCATTGGTACGAGTTGACAAAACCGCAAAACAATGGAAAAGGAATTTAAGGAATGTATGTCGGATTGAAACAGATTGGTGGGGGCGGGGAGTATTGCGTGACTCCGGCCCGAGCGGCTGCGAAGGAGACTCGGATCTTGTCCTTGGACACCAGCTTTGGTAGCGACGGTAGCGAAAACGCCCCCCAAAAAGTGAATTCGCGCTTTAATAAATTGCTCTTATTCCAACCCTTTTTAATGATTCATTGTCAGATGTTGACGACTTTTTCAGGAGCTGAGTTTTAAAGGAATGTATCTAAGTTCACAAAAAAGGAAAAAGGAAATCGTTTTCTTGTGTTCAAGTTCTCCATAAAACGTGAAAGTTTCACGCCGTCGCCGTTAGGATTAAAGCTACGTGCGAACGGACGCAACAACTCCCAACATTGTTGGGCCAGCAATGTTGGGAGTTGTTGCGTGTGTGTTGGCAGTGGTGTGCAAACGGATGCAACAACTCCCAACATTATTGGGCCAACAATGTTGGGAGTTGTTGCGTGTGTGTTGGCAGTGGTGTGCAAACGGATGCAACAACTCCCAACATTGTTGGGCCAACAATGTTGGGAGTTGTTGAGTCCGTTGCACGTAGCTTAACGTTTGACCGGTTTCAAACTTTGCACAACAACTCTCAACAACACGCAACAACATGTGACAGATTAAGCAAACGGAAACAATATGTAACATCCAACAACGTTGGGAGTTGTTCGCCAACAATGTTGCGTCCGTTTGCACCCTAATTTCTGCGAGCAGAAAACAACAAGATCTTTTAGAGTGAAATACTGTTTATTTTATAGCAATGTTGTATCTACTGACGATCGTAAAAGTATTGAAAACATATCATAACAAACTATCAGAAGTAAGCGCGCGTGGTCTCTTTTTTCCTTGTCTTTCGACGGATATAAATTCATACCATCGGAGAATATATACATTCAATGAACTAAAATTTCGTAGTTAAAATTCTATTTACACACCTATAAAATTATTCTGCTACTTCTGTTACAACTCTTAAGTATGCAATAAAATGTTTAGAGCATCACGGATTCGCAATGGTCAGTCTATATCGTTTGCGTCAATATCGATCGGTTTAATCTTCGAATTTGTTCCTCCTTAATCGAAAATATCTTCGCGTAGTCCTTTTTCGTCTTTCAGTATATTTAATTTAATTACTGCACTAAAATGACTAACAATTCAAAACAACATATTCCTTTACTTTCCAACTACTTTTAAAGAGACAGAGACAGAGACAGAGACAGAGAGAGAGCGAGCTAACTAAAAATTTTGATTCTTTTTCACAACTGCAAGGTAAGGTCAGCTTTCTTATAACCATTTTGACTATAATAAATGAAAAAGCGGCGGACAGCTTGTTAAGCACGTTCCTTTAGACATCTTGCTGTCACATTTAAAATATTTTTCACGTAAAACGTAAATAAATTTTCTGCTGAAGAAAAGAAACTTACTGCGAGAGTATTTTAGCGGTTAGCGGTGAATCATTTGATATATCTGCCTTTATATTGAAAACGCGATCCAGTGTAATATGGTCTGTTTACTACCTTGAGTTTACTAAATTTCGTCTCAGGAAAAAAGCAAAATTTCGTTTTGTACAATAATAAAAACAAGGCGCACCAAAAAAAAACCGATTACAGATTAAGATGTTTCCTATTATAATATTCACATCAAATCCTGCGAGGCACTATCTGATGTGACTCGTCATATTGTTAAAGCAGTAAATATTTTCCATCGGTGTTGATTTGGCATCAGCTTTAGCCCCACGTATATGGCAGTGCGATCGAAGGAAATCGTGGTACAAAAAGCGTCAACTGAAACGCTGGTATTTTTGTTCCTGACGTTTACATAATTACAAGACGCAATGCTGCCCGTGTGAGAAGTTCATATGGGGAAAACACTGCGGGTTGCAAGAATATCATTAGGTATTATCAAGGAGAAGTTATATTTCCATTCAACTGTGCCATCTGTCCTTGTTGCCACCGCGATGTTCTGATTTTCTCCTCCGGACTTTCTTTGTTAAACATTTTGAGTTTGTCCCTGAAGTGTAGATTCTCAGGTTTTTTAGAAACAAACTGATTTTCGGATTTCTCCTCGTCCGTCAAAGACATCCTCGCCAGGCGCCCGCGAGCGATCTCTGACCCATTCAAGTCGTCATTATCCAACCGCGCTGGCTTCGGAGCATACTGGGGCTGGGGGCGAGACTGAGGTCCGTCCAAAATGTTATCCTGTGAGCCGTACCTTACAGGGGGAGGGCCTTGTTCATCCATCTCCCAAGCATTTGGGTAAGACACGGGACGGGGTTTCCTTGGTAACGTGACGTAGCTGGGATACGCAGATGACGGAATTGGAGGCTGACGATACGGAATTGCCGCACTAGAGTACGGTGTGGGGTAGTCCCGTGTGTTCCTAGGTCCCTGTGGTGCAAACGTCATCTGGGAGGTGTGCCCGCCTAAGCTACGCGATTTATCGCCGCTGAGGGCGTTGAAACGCTCGAAACTTTGTGCTGATTTGGCTGGTGGAGGCGGAGGAAAATTATCGTCGTCCAACAACTCCTCTGGAGGCGGGGGCGGTGGGGGAGGCGGTGGAAGGTCGTCGTCGTCATCATCAGGAGGTGGTGGCCTAACGGAATCTGGCCCAGCATCGCTTGGAGCTCTTGTGTTCACGTACCTAACGCTGGGGGCAGGTGTGACTCTGGCGGTGTAACCGGACGGTGTGCCCACCACGTACGTGGGGGAAGCAGGCTCCCTTATTTCAGTCGCCACATTGGAAAAGGACACTTGCTTCTTGGGTTTTACAGAATTAGAATTCTTAAGAACTGACACCGGTTCTGAACGCCGCCGATTTATCTCTTCGTCGATCAGTTTCCGTCTTCTTTCGTAATCAGCCGTAGCGCGATTCTTGAGTTCGTTAACATGATCCTCGGTGGAAATCTTCCGCGTGCTGTCCTCTTGATACCGCTGATCTTCAAACTGCTGTTTCCGCAATTGTTCCTCCTTTTCCTGGATTATTTTCTGTTCCTCAAGCTGTCTCTTTCGCTCTAAATCTCGCTGCCTTTCAGTTTCTCGTCGCTCCTCAGCAAGAAGACGCTCTTGCTCTTCTTTCTGCTTTTGAGACTCCCGCCGGAGTCTCTCTTCTTGATCGCGCCTCTGCTGTATCTCTAACCGTTTCTTGTTACGTTCCTCTTCCTCTTGCATCTTTTTCTCCAGACGTAGTTTCTCCTGTTCCATTCTCTGTTGCTCTCTCTTTTCTCGCTGCTGTCTAAGCCAATCTTCTTGCTCCCTTTCTCGTTGCTCCTGGATGCGCCGCTGAGATTCTTTCTGTTGCTCGCGCTCCATCTCGAACTGCTCAATTCGACGCTGTTGTCTCTCACTACAAGAAAAAGAGAAGCAACGTCACAATTTAAAAGGCAAATTCTTTCCACCTTTCCTTCAGGGTCTTATTAGGAATCAGTTTTCACAAAACAGCAGGCTTTGTAAGCGTGGTTGCACGCGACAGTTACAAGCGTCAAACAAGCAGACAATAGTCAGATCTGACAAACGTGAGACATTATTGAGTGATACACATTGTGCAAATTGATCAAATGACAATCTCGCTGATTGTACGAAAACTTTTGACCTTGAATGTGTTGTGACATCGTTAAAATGATTTAATTCCTAGCGTGCTACCGGGTATATCTTAAATCTAGGTTTCTTATGGGGGGCCAAGCTGTACAAAAGTTCATTTTTTGTTATTGTAACGTTTGTAATAAATCCTGGGCGACATATTAACCCTTTAATCCCTAAGATCAAAATTTGAATTCTCCTTTGTTGCCGCTATCCATTTCCTCAAGAAGTAGTGGGGAGAAGTTAATAAAATATCACGCAAATTCATCTTGTGTGATCATGTCCTTAACTCTCATGATCAAACAGTTTTACAAAGCATTGATATTACAAGGAGAAATTTGATGCTGATCACTCTTAGGGCTTTAAGGGTTAATGTGACATGAAACTGTGATTTTGGCATTCACAAGAAATTTCTCAATTTTCGTAGCGAAAAAGGACGTGTGATTGGTTATAAGTACAAAATGAAATTGCCAGCCTTGACAAGGTACGTATATAAAGTGGACTCTTTTGTTTTTCTCTCATTCCCGACATTTTCCATTTCATTTTACACACCTTCTCTGTCGCTCCTCTTCGTCATCTTTTTGTTGCCGTCTTCTCTCGGCCTCTTTTCGCTCTCTCTCCCGTTTCATGGTTTCATCAAGTAACAGATCAATCTTCCTTCCTCGTTCCATTCTCTCCTCTTTGTCAGGCGGGTGGTACATTACACGTGTTACAGACACCAAACCTCCCGCGGTGCGCTCCTATGGTAACAGACACACACTTCATCAGTCTAAACGGACATGGATTTGCGCGTTAACAAACCCAAACAAAGAGAAGTGAGTGGGAGGGATTTCATTACATTCAGCATACGCTTGTTTTTGCTCCTGTCTATAAATTCATTTTATTTATTTATTTAAAATCTAAATTGTTACGCAAGGCAAAAAGAAAAGTTATAATAAGAACTTTCTAAATGACGGAGAGATTTAGAGTCACTTTAAGAAAAACGTTAAATATAAGATTCTAGTTGAGAAATTCTCAAAATAGGAAATCAGCACATAAAAACAGCTCAAAACAATTCTTATGGATGCGATGGCGTGAAACTACTGATTTTTTAGAAGAAGTAATGAACAGTAAACGAAACGACAAGCGAAGGAAAAACTTGGTCACGCGGTACAAATTCACGTTGACCGTTTGGCGTCAACATGACTCAGTTTAAATATCTCTATTATCATATTTTCCAAGTACGCCAAACTTATATACAATCATCTAACACAAAGTGATCTGCAGAAGAACTATAATGCAAGATCTTATTTTTTCACGCATACACCAACCACTGCCTAGTATGCGTAGACTTGATTGCTGTGTTTTTGGAGTTTGGGACGAATTTCATTTGTGATACCTCAAAACATATTCCAGCAATTCGGAACACCAAAGGAAAGAGATAAAACCGTTTCTCGGGCAACTTGGAAAGGCTGATTTCTATTCGTTAGAGAAATTAAGTTGAAGGAGTATCCGTCGTAATCTCTAAGGCAGCGGTTTTTTGTCTTGTCACGCAGTGATCCTACCTCATTTGTCACGTTGCGTGACGAGACAAGAAAAGGTTACTTGGGTTAATTTTTGCTGGGTACATGCCCCTGGCATCTCGGAACCCTCTTCATTATAGTCTGTTCTGTGGCCAATTATAGGCCCCATCTTAGTCACTTTTGGGCAAATGTAATTTTCACGATCCCAACTTAGTCACTTTCTATTTAAGTATCTTAACCTTAACAATCTTTTAAATAGGTCATCCTAAGATGAATTGACCCATTTTTTAAATTGAAGGTAGAACACTTTACTTTTCACCTACAATGCAACATTCTGGTACGTCTGCTAACCATAAATATCCATAAATATGAAGAACTTTCTTACCCCAAAAATCAGATGTGCGACTCCATTCTAGTAACTCTACTTATAATGCAACCCCATTATAGTCACACCAGTTGTGAAAATGCGACCCCATCCAGCGGCACATCCCCATTAGCCTCTTTTAAGGAAGTGCCCCCCCCGGATCCGTCGGGGGCTTAGATTTACTTTGTGCTTAATAAATGTCACGCATTCATAAGAAGTTACCAACCTCTTTGACACCAGCCGATTCCCTCCTTTTCTTATCCTCCTCAACGCGCCTCTGAAATTCGCGTTCAACTTCATCAGCAGACAGTGCCTCGATGGAATCCAAAAATTCTTTGCTTCCTTTGTTTCTAGATAGTCCCCTCAATCGAGCTTGCTCCAAATTTCGCTGTTTTAACTGTTCTTCTTCCAGTTGCTTTAAATGATCTTCTCTTTCCTTTTGTTCGTCCAACTCCTCCTTTTGCAACTGGTTCATAATTCGCTCCTCTTCAATTCGCTCACGTTCCGCGCGTTCACGCTCGATGCGAAGAAGTTCTTGTCGCTCTCTGTCTCGGCGATCCCTTTCTGGACCTTCACGTTCTTGTCTCTCACGCTCCGCACGTGTGCGATCCCATTCTTGCCTTTCACGTTCTGTTTTTCCGCGCTCCTCCTGATCTCTTCTCTGTTTTTCTAAATGGAATCGCCATGCCCGCTCTTCCTGTTCGCGACGTACATTCTCTTCCCTTTGTAACCGCTCCTCGGCAATTTTAGCTTCTTCTCGCTGCCAGCGGGCAAATTCCTCTTTCTCGCTTGGTTTCCAGTTATCAGTTGCATCACGTCCTCTTCGATCTGGCTCGTTTTCCCCAGGCCGCAGAGGTTGAGTGCCACCAGCACCAGCCTGGGACTGAGTAATCATGATATATCTGCCTGAGCGCGAGTCACGGCTGTCTATTCGGATAGGACTGGACGGAGGTTCTTCCGGAGATTTGTCCTACGGAGAAAAACCAAATTCATTGATTTAATATTAATCGTAGTGCTGATAATAGACCTTCTTAGCTTGTATGTTTTGTTTTCCCTTTGCCGTGCGTGTGATGTTACCCCAGAGAACACTTTCTTTCAAACGTCGCGCTGTCTACATACATATGTGTACATAACTAATCAGTAATGAACGTAATGAACAGACAAAAGGCAAATTTCCTCGAGAATATAAATTGGTCTGAATTGGGTAAATGAAACCAATACGCAAAAAAGGTTTAAAGTGAGCTTAACGACGAAGACAACGGTACCTAGGAGAAAGCAATAGGTTTATATTAGCAAAACAAGAACTTTGCACATGCCCAACAAATTCTTTTGTACATTTCTTTGCCGTCGTTACACGCACCACGAATTCAAGTGCCTCATAGATTATTTTATAGTTATGGGCTTGGTAACTTAGCCTCTGAGTGAACGTGAGACTGAAGTTGAACTTGTTTGATACAACCTCCTTTCCTTTCTTATTAAAATTAAACTAAAAGATACTCGTTTGCAAAAGAACAACATGATTTGCATAATACGGAGGAAGGGTTGCATCAAAACAAAGTCAACTCCAGCCTCGTTTCCACCTGTAACCCTAAAATAAACTACTTCACGTTTTCTGGAGGGCGTGAACACAAGACGATTTTCTAACTGTTTATTTTTTCAGTCCTATAGAATTAAACCCAAGAAAAATCCACCAACATTTGACAGATTAAACGACAAAAAAATAAGAGAGTTGAATTTTGAAACAGCGTGAATTCGCGTTTAAAGAAACGTTTTCACCCCCGTCGTCGGTTTACATCTCCGACTGTAACGCATCACATCTCTAATATTATTAGCTTTTAAGGTTAATACAAACCTCCCTCGGGGACTCTCTCCTGGGAGATGATGAACCAGGCGATAAGGCAGCGGCAAAATACTTGTCTTTTCTCTGAGCGACAACTTCTGGTTCATCGACTTTCACGGTCAGCGGTGACCTCTGCCGATCTTCAGCCTCGAAGCGGACTTTGTACGAAGGTCGGGTCACGACGGGTTTAACTTGAATGTTCGGTTTTTGTCGTCGTTGCTGTTCTCCTATAATTTTCAGCGCATCCTGGGCTCGTTCACGTTCCACGTCCTGTCGACGCCTTTCTTCGGTAAACCGACGCTGCTCGTTCAATCTTCGTTCTTCTTCTCGTCGGCGTTCTTCGTCCAGTTTCCGCTGCTCTTCTGCAAGGCGTCGTTCTTCCCGCAGACGTTGCTCCTCGATTCTCCGCTCTTCTTCGCGCCGGCGTTCTTCGTCTATCTTCCTCTGTTCTTCTGCGCGTCTCCTTTCATCTTCGGCACGTCGTCGTTCTTCCTCCACCCGTCGTTGTTCTTCGAGGCGTCTTCGCTGTTCCTCGAGTCTCCTCTCCTCCTCCAGTCTCCTCTTGTCCTCTTCAACCCGACTTTGTTCTTCAGCCCGTCTCCGCTCATCTTCAAGCCTCCTCTCCTCCTCTTCTCGATATCGCCTGTCCATCTCCGCTCTAATGCGCTCCTCTTCCAACCTCTCTTCCTCTACTTGCCGTCTCTGCTCCTCAATCCGTCGTCTGTCATCTTCTGCTCCTCTTCTTCTTCTTTCTTCATCTATCTGCCACTGATCCTGGTAACGTCGACCTCTGTCATCCTCATTCCACCTGTTAAACGACTGATCGCGGCCATTTTGCAGCCATCTACCAGGGGAACGCTGCATCTCTTGTTCCGAGATAGTGGGCGACAATTGAACAGGATCTTCGTTATCCAATGGTACAAGTTTCTGTTGTGGCTCTGATAATTCGAAACAAAAGATACGCATTAGACATCATATACTAGTGAAGGTGTTATGACTAACCTCTGCAAACCGACTTCTGTTTCTTCAGTCTTAACTATTACCCACCTATCCCTCCCCTAAGTCAACATTTTGCCCTAAGTGAGAAGTAAGTGTGAATGTTGGCTTATGGGAGGGGTAGGTGGGAAGTTTCCCCATAAACGTATCTTCAGAACAGTTTGCAAAGGCAGTTTATATGGCGGGCTCCCAGATAAACTTAATGCGAGACATAAGGTGAAATAGATGCTAATGTTCGTTCATGCAGTGTTTTGTGGCTTTGGGCGATTGAGATTATTCGGACAATTGTATGTAAAATTAGGCTCTACAAAAGAGTGTTAACAGAACCTATGCTGTTAAGATACCTCTGGTAACCATGGGTGATGGCTGACTGAGCAAGGTAGCCAGGCCATGATATATGGCGCCCTGCTTGGCTATCCGCAAAGTTACAGTAGCTCCTGATTTCACCATCAGCTCGGCGGCCCTACAAGAAACACACATGTCAAACGTTAAATTCTCCTTACTACTTAGCTCACATTTCCAATTGAAAAAGTTGTGAGAATTTGTAAAATCTGGACTACCGCCGTTATAAGGGCAGCTTCTTTAATACCCTGACGTTCTTTCGGTATGTCACCCAACGATTCTCCCAAACGATAGAGAAGATTATTGCGCTAGGTGACAAAAGAATGCGTGCATAGGAAGCTTAATTTATGGATGTCTGTTAAACATTTCAGACCACATTTTAATACCGAAGAAAAAGGAACTTGACTTTATTAATTTTGTTAGAAATTTTTAAGGCTCAAACTAGCATAACCCGTTCATTTAGGGAAATAAAAAAATAATGACCCAGCTCCTTTCTGGTACAGTGGAACCTCGTTAATGCGACCACTGTTGGGCCATAAAATCCTGGTCGTACAGTGGAACCCCGTCTTACGACCACGTTGTTTAGGCGACCACCTCGTTATTACGACCATATTTTTTCGACCCAAACGTAAAAATCACAGAGTCATTTTATTATTATGAAACCACGTTTATGCGACCACCTTGGTATTACGAACAGGATTTTATGGCCCAACAGTGGTCGCATTAACGAGGTTCCACTGTAATACCAAGGTGGTCGCATAAACGGGGTTTCATGATAATAAAATGACTCTGTGATTTTTACGTTTGGGTCGAAAAAGTATGGTCGTAATAACGAGGTGGTCGCATAAACAACGTGGTCATAAGACGGGGTTCCACTGTACTGTCTTAACACCAACTTTTCAGAACTTATTGACCAGTTTGTCAGTTTGTACTTTACGAAGAAACATACTTTCCCAAGGACCTTCTGGAGAAAAACTTATATACATGTTGCTTCTTTCTTGTATCCGGAATTTGAGATCATAACCCAGAAAATGTACCAAGACGTGAGACTACTAACCTCTCTTGTGGGACGCCTACTAAACTCTCACCATTCACTGCTAAAAGTTGATCACCAGCTTGCAGGCGTCCATCCTACACAACAAATAACAAGAATTGAGTGGACTTTAGAATAAGAACGGTTGTGTTAGTGTCAAATGTTATTGTACAATTCCTCTGGTTTTACAACGCGATGCTATAATTTACCATCATTATAGCATACTCTCCTCAGAGTGGCAAATCTCAAAGAAGCGCAATACAATTGTCTGTTTTGCGCTATGTCTTTGCGAAAGTTAACTCGGCCGTTAAAACCGCCACTCTCTGTTGGTCTCCCTGAGCATCTCCATCGCTTCAGAGAAAACTTTGAAAGCTCTTTTTACACCTTTTCATGTCTTGGAACATGACCAAAAAATCTAGTGTCTGTCTCCTGACGCTATATAGGTGGCTAAAAAATTCTCATGTCACTTTCTCAGCCAATCAGAAGACAAGCTAAATAAACATAGCACCTTGCTCGCACGCCTTTTCTCTCCGTCACACCGGTTGATTGTTTTCGACGTCCGACTGGCTCACAGGATTACCTGCTTCTACTGTGATTGGCCAGAGTAACGTATCATCTGATTGTTCACGTGCATGGAAGTGAAATGGAAGTGGTGCAGCTATTTTCAACGCATGCGCAATACGCCTAATGGAAATGGAATCATCAAGTGTCTAACTAACCTTTGCGGCAGGTCCGTCTTTCACAACCTGTTTGATGTAGATTCCAAGCTTGTCCTGATCAACTCCCTGACAAAAATTAATGGCCAAGAGTCAACCCAGAAGTTCATCTACTTCTGAGCAAAAACTTGGTCTATGATCATGTTTTAAATTCATAATTATAATAACTCATTAAATCAATAAACCAGTTCTTGAAATTTTCTATGCTACTCGTTCATTCTCATTACACCTGAAAAACTTTTCTTCCTGATTTTCTCTTCAGCAGTGTTGGTCTTAGAAATAGAGAAATATTTATCTTACCTTTGCTGCAACAATACTAAGGCCCATGCCTCCTTGCCCTTTGTAGAAAGAGACGTCTACGATATCAGGAGTCTGGGAAGGAAGTTAGGACAAACTGAACATTAAAAATTAAGGTTTCCAAAAAAAGCCACGTGCAAATTATATCATTATTCTCATCACACTAGAAATGAAGAAAACGTTAATGCAAGTATTTACCTGGGGTAACCTCTGGGCCATGCCGTCAACTGACAAAAAAGAAAAATATTGTCACGCAATGGTAATCGAGTGTGTCACTTCAACATTTACTATATTTAGGGGGGGGGGGGGGGGGGGGAATAATTAATGCCAATGAACCGATTACGCAGTTCTAAATTATAAATTAGTCACTTACAGCCTTTGCTTATTATTAGTGAACTTATGCAACAGGACAGGACGGCAAACCTTGCGTGACATGCGTGACAATATTTATGTTTGAAAAAAAACTTTCTCCTAAACTTCACCTTCCTTTAAGCAGATATTTTTGTCAAAGACCAAAAAACATTAATGTAAGTGCACATAACGACAAGGCATGCAAGTGATAGCCCTGTCACGTTTGTCACACACAAAAGTTTTGCCATCCTCTTCTTTCCGCTGTCCTGTTGTGTATACTCAATAATTATTGTCCTGAACTGGACTGCAAAGCTCAAACATTACAAAGAGAATATCCTTTTTCCACAAGCACGTAACCTTTACAGTAATGAATTCTCTTGTGTATGTTGTGGTTCAATTTTACCATTGGTTTAAATTTTATTTTCCTTTGTTTTGGGGTACCGTAATGTATGTTAATGAGTCTGAAACAAAGGAAATAAAATTTAAACCAAGGATAAAATTGAACCAAAACATGTACATGTAATTGCAAAGTTGCTGCTGATAAGTGCCGAACCTGCTTCATATTTGATGACATACTTGCATTGTAGCCCATGTAGGTCATGGCGCCTAAACAGAAATTAAAATACTTCAATATGTATATCTCACCAGTGTCTTTGTCGCTCATATGATATACAGTCCATAATCCAGAGGAAGATGGCTGAATAGTCAGTCTGCAAAGACCTGAAATGACATAGACAACTTATTAGTGAACAACAAAACAATCAAAAGGGACAATCTTATCTGCTGAACTGCACAATTCAACATTTCAAATAACCTGAGAAAACAGCTGACATTTTGGGACTCTACCATTGGTTTCCCTGCAAGATGATGTCTGAGAAAGGAGCATTGGTTGAAAATTTGCTACAGCCAGTGAAAATTAATATTTTTTTCTCATCAGGTGCCAGTGTTTTGATGAAGTTAATGCAATTTAAGGCAGTTAACAACAGGGAGCACTGTCTCATGTTGTTGGTCGGCACTCAGTGTGGTGGCACAAGTGCAGTTACCCTTGCTTGCATCAACTCCATGTGCTTAGTACAACACTTTCATGGCACCTAATCACTTCATTTAGCTTTTGGATTGTTCTTTCTCCCCCACCCCTCACCACCCCCCTTTTATATTTTCCCCTGATATATCAGAGTGACAGGTGCCTGGTTCCATTGGTGTGAGGGCTCATGGCTGGAAGGCATGGGTTTACCAGCCATAAAAAGTGGAAGCCCCTGGACACCCACCTCCACTTTGCGATGCCATTGTTAATGAAACAATTATAATCATTTTCAAATATAATACCAACTGACCTATTCCTGCTAGAGGGTTCAAAAACTCCTTCAGACCAGGGGGTACCCCACGGATCACTTCACAAGAGTACCTATCCTCAGGAAGCAAGAATGGGAGCTGCAGTTGAGGGTCCTCTTCAAGTATCACTTCTTGCCCTTGGTTGCGGATGAGCTCATCTGCTGTGTTTTCAGCAATAGCCACAACACTGTCAATCAAATCCCTAAAGAGAAATATCATAATACATATATACATATCAAGAGGTATCCAAGCAAAGCCTTTCATGTAAAAGAGGAAATACATATCAGTCCTCCCTTGCATCCACTTGTATAAATTATGTTAAGAGCAAGGAACAAAATATAAAGTTCGTAATCTTTCTGTGTATTAATGCTAAGTAGTACCAAAAAGTAATACCCAACAACTTAGTATGTGCCTTGAAGACATCCCAGCGTCATATTTAAAACACAAATTCTTCATGCAATAAACTTTATAATTTTCATGACGCTTAATCTCTGTATACTCTTAGGACATTCACCAATTTTATGGCTAAAAAATTAAAAAGACTATGCAAAAACCATAGTGAGAATGATAAGATCCTTTAAGGTTATGTTCTTGAAGCAGTTCATAAACTTGCAATTTGGGTGACCCTTGTTTATTAAACACAACAAATTATTTTGCAGTGGTAATCTAACTATGATGAAGTCATGAACTGTTTATTTAATAATAAGTTTTACATTACCTCAGAATGTCCAACTCATCTGGGGCAGGGCGATAGTTTTCTAAAAGTGCACGAAGTTGCACTGAGTTGAGTTTGTAACAAGCTGATGATATGGAGTTGAGATCATTCTGAGAGTTCTTAGGAGCCTGGAGCAGATAGGCTGCCTAAAATAAAAAATTTATAACACATTTTAAAACTTTACTTTTGGATAGTCTAGCTATACTAGTACATGTATCTTAATACGGTAATCAAACCGGTCTGGAGATTCAAGGAAGTGCTGACATATCCGTGCTCCATAGTTCTAATGATAATCCTAGTACACTAAATATTCCAAATCCAGGGTTGGATCTAGGGGGATGGTGCGGGGAGGGGGTGTGTGCACCCCCTCCCCACCCTGAGAGGGCTCTTGACAACTGGCATTCTGCAAAATATGCAGATATGTATGGTATGTATTCTCAGCAGTTCACATCACGTTATTGCTGAGTCAAAAGCATTCTTCTTTGTATTCACTTTTAAAATTATTTTGTTTCCATCACCAGTCAGTTACACCATTTCTTGATGGTGCACCCCTTCCAAAGAAAAATCCTGGATCTGCCCCTGAAATCAGTTATACAAACTCTGTAAGGTGGTCCCTGGGTTTATCCAACAATGCTTCATTCCATTTATAGTTGATTTCTCATCCACAGTTTTTCTCCATGCCCCCACAGGGCAAGGAAAGAGACCCAACCGGTAGTGATCCAGGACAAGCAGATTTCTTGCTGGGCAAGTAACCTTTCAAGCTCACTCGCCAAATTGGCAAGGATCCAAGTAAGTCATCTTCAAACTAAATCATAACCAAAGTGGGAAAAGAAGTTGCACTAGGCAAGCAAAATGTAAGCTGGAATTCAAGTTTTTTTTTTTCAAACACTGGCCCAGCTTTATCATCACAGGAATTCCCTTTTGCTTTACTGACCTCTCAAGCTCGGAAATCACTAAAACTCACTGGAGCAATTACTAAATGTCATTTGCAGTGCAGCATGGGAATGATAGATCCCAAATCCTCACCTGTACTACTCGACATAAGTGAGAGTCAGCTGCCAGCTCCAGGCCCTGTTTCTGTGCCCAGGACTCCACCCGTCCCAGTCTCCTTCTCAACCTGTGTCCCCAGTCCCTGGTGCAGAGACCCAGCTGTGGTTGCAGTACCAGCTTGTTAAATATCCACATGTTAATGTAATGGAATAGCTGCGAGAACACTTGAATGGTCAGAGCAGCATTCACTCTGCAGCGACGTAACAAGGACATTGCTGAAGAAAGGGTAAACAGGATGTCTGACAATGTTGGCCTGCCATGGCGTCTTCGTCCACCTGAAATATACAGTATTATTTGTGAAGATAAAGTTTCTGACACAAGAATCTTCAAAGCTGAAATTTTACCTGCAACAGAATTACTATAAAAGAAAGATTCCTGCTTCAGCTTATTTTATTTCAAATTCCCCTCAACTAACTTGCAACTACATTAATTTTATGATCAACATGTCCTGGGCTTAAAGCCCTACACCAACTACTTCATGTACCTCCCCTGAAGTTGTTGAATGGTACATGTATACCAGTAGTCTCAACTTCAACTTCCCTGTCCATTCTTATAAACCCTTTAAGCCCCAGTATCCACATACAAATTCTCCAGACTGATCTCTATACATTTCCGCAACAATTAGTTGAGAGAATTTGTGATCATTTGTCAACTGTCATGACCTTTTTACCTTGATTTGGTATGGATATTGGGTGAAAATTAACAAATTACAAAATTTGATTTGGTATGGATATTGGGAGAAAATTTACATTTTTTATTTTTTGTTTGGCTAGATGCAAGGTGTTAATGGTGATCAGAGCTGTAACAAAATGGATCAAATTTTCTCATGTTTCATTTGAATTAATTATTTGTTTTGAATACTGATGAGCATTTCCCCAAATGCTAATGACCACCATAAAACACTGTCACTGGTAAAATACAGGTAATTTGTTTATTTATTGTATTACAAGGAGTCTGAGGTGGCATCCACCAGCAAACTCACAGTCTGCATGAACAACAGAGTGGACTGGGTGGCCAGGTGAATAGCTCAGCTATATAAGGCCACCTGAATGAATAAGTGAATTACAATATTAGCTTACCAAGCCAGCTATCCCCACCAAGGGGCCTCCCAGATGGTCCATATCTGAAACTCCGTTCACCTGCTATCATGCTATCTGGAGACTCTAAATCCATCATGGACTCACCATCACTGTCTTCCATATCAGCATCGTCTGTGACGTCCAGGAATGCCGACATCAGCGTCCGCAGTTCTTGTTCCACACACTGAACAAGGTGCCTGAATGCCTTTTGAACTGACTGAGCTAGTATCTGATGGCTGTCTTTTAGGCATGGTGATACATCAATATCTTGCTTCAAGAAATGTAGAAGTTCTGATGAATTTGCCAACCAAAATGCCAGGCTTCCAGGAAGCTGACTATTTTCCTGCAGGTAAGATAAAGGAAGAGAAACTCTATTTTACACTGAAATTATACTGAAAATCCATACATGTAGGTATTACCTACAGCAGGGTCAGCTCAAATGAATTGAAGCCCGAAAACCAGAAAGTTCATGAAAGAGCCTGTCAAGCATGCCATCTCTGTAGCAGTCGTTAAAGTATGAAAGGTGAGATCTTTTGTTTCATTTTGCAGTAGAATTTAACTGAAATATTATCAGACAATTTTTAGCTGTCATACTTGCCTTTCTTTGATGTTACCATGGCAAGGGTCAGTAAAAAAGAACTAGGATTATAAATCATCTCAAAAAGTTAACTTAAAAAAGTTACCTCAACTGTGGAGCGCACCATGTTGGCAATCTTCTGAACAGTAAGACTGAGTCGGTCATTGCGCTGGTAACTCGTTAACTCTTCCCGATAGGCAGGTGATGTACGATAACGGCAGCACATATACAGGGTATATGTTGGCGCAAGCTTAAAATGAACTCTGTCGCCATTGACCTCACTAATGACAGCAGCAAAGAAGGCATCTTCTCCTGATTCTCGGAACTCCAACCTAGCTGGAAGCCTGTCACCCATGCCATCATCTGGGGAGTCAGGGGGTGTCTGGCGTTCATATGGCTACAGATCAAGGACAAACTGAGATTAGAAAATACCCTAAGAAATCAAAACCAACATCTAAGGGGCAGATCTATGTATTTGCATTAAATTAATTTAAAGAAGTACAGTGGAACCCCGCTGTATGGACACCTGCTGAATACAAACACCCGTATAATTAAGACACAGTTTCACTTGTCCCTAGCTACAAAAAGCTCATATCTTTTTTCTAAAATTTGCGCTTAATACGGGCACCAGTTGATATAATGGACAACGGACACTCTTCTGTATCCCAAGTCACAAACTCCCATACATCATCAACCCTGCTTTAAGGACACTATTCATCTGCGCACTGCCTACAAATGAATATCTCACCTGCAGTGTAAGCCTAAATAAAAACAGCAAATGATGAATTTCAAAGGTTCTGTCTAATATTTAGTCCAACTGATAGAGTCACAAACTTAAGCCATCAGTACAAAGTTAAGTTATGGATTCCTATATCTTATTCTTAAGTTAAATAAGCTAAGAACACTGACTTGACAGTTTAGTGCAATACTAGTGTTAAAAGATCATAGGGTTTATTTAGGATGGGACTCGCTACAGTTACATTTAAGAAAATTAAACAAAGTTTTCTTGTGAAAATGTCGACTTTCGTCTTCATATCGATAAAACACGTGTCTGTGCCATTTTTTCTCAGAGCCCGGTTAATACTCCCGGTTAATACTGACACTATGGTATGTCCCCTCTTTATCCATATAAACCAGGTTCCACTGTAAAACCTAAGTTACCCTTGCATTCTTCTCAATAACATTGTATGCATCTGTTAGCTCAAGAAGCTCAAGTGAAGTATAGTTCCTGCCTCTCTGTGTTTCAAAAAGAAATGTTTTTCAATAGGCACTCACCGGTTTCTCATTTGTGTAAGTCTCAACTTCCCCATCAACACCAAATGTTGTCTCAAACATGCCTGATTCACTGTTGTTTCTGACCATCTTATTCTGTTCATATCCTCTGTTTACTCCTCCTGGTCCAGACCTGAGTAACAACAATGAACATAACAATAATGCAGCAATGAAACCAAACAACATATATATTGTCTCCCATGTCCAACATTAAAGCTTATAAAGTAAATCAGTTACCACATACAATCTGTACTTTAAAATCAAAACGTCTTTCAATTCTGGAGAAATTTATGCAAAATTACAAACTTTAGTACATGCAGAAAAGCAAGTTGGGATTTTATCCGGCACATTTGGTGACCCATGCAGAAGACTGCTAGATTGTGCTGTATCTGGGAGAGTTGGCATATATGTAGTTATAAAACCTGACTTTTGTCTTCATCATGTTTTAGTTAGCATTTTTGGCCTTGAACTCTTTAAGAGAAACAGATCAGCCATTAAGAATGCTTTAGTCTAAGGCAAATGTTACCTTTAAAAATACATTTACTGTAAATCCTCTGTTAAGCCCCCCTCTCAAAAAAGCCCCCACCCCCTCTCTTTTTAGAGGAGGAAAGTTAATAAGCCCCCCCTCCCCCACCGCTCCATCCTTACTCTTCACAAACAACATGTACTGATCAGTTATGGTTTATTCAGGCTGGAAATTCATATTGTTTTCTTCAGCTACATGACCTCCAACTTCATGTGCTTTAAATTTTTCAACTTTACGCTCTAGTTCTCTGTGGAGAATTATTACTATTTTCTTATTGTTAGAAAAAGCAGTATAATGCCCAGGAACCAGAGAAACCTTGCTCCCCTTGATGTGTTTGGCTAAATTAAATAAGCCCCGTTCTCTATTAAGCGCCCCCTCAAAAGTGCTTGAAAAAATAAGCCCCCCAGGAAGCTTAACAGAGGATTTAAGGTAACTGAATACTGTACCTGGGATCTCTTCTTCTCTGTAAATCAGAGTCACTATGTCCACTGCTGAGACTTCCACCATCAGAAGCTGGTGATCTAGGTTTAGGAGTCTCCTCAAAGGCTGGGTCTCCAAACTTAAAAGTGTGAAGCCGGCCAAACTTAACCATGCTACCATGATCAAGCTTTGTCGACTCATAAATTCTCTTGCCATCCACATAAACTTCTGCGTCACCTGAAGCTGGTGTAACAGAAACAATGCCGTCCATGTTGGTTATCACGCAATGGCGCGGAAGCACTTCAGGTGCATAAATCTCTAGACAACTACCTCCTGACAACATGGATTTCTCACTGCCAACCTCTGTAACCTCCATTGGCAGCCGGTGTATATTGGGTCTGTTGATCTCACGACCATCAGATGCTACCTCTCTCAAATAAGGCAGTAGATGCTCAGGGTATCCTGAGTTTGCAAGTCTTTCACCGATTGTTTTTTCTGGTGACGTGTTATCCAAGGGTACCCTAGATGGAGATTTTGACCTTCTCTTTTGTTTTCTATATTGGGGCAAGTTTGCCCTGCGACGCAAATGGAAAACAACATGACCCTGGTTTTTGGGCCATGTAGCAGCAATAGCAAGTGGCTGATCTTCATCATGAACAAGCCTTTCTTTGCCTAGTGTGTTAGTGCCATTAGGACCCCCAGGTGGAATATTTACCATAACCAGGCAATATTCTTCAGGATTTTCTTTCTCCAGCTGGTATTTCTCCAAAGCCTCTTTCACAACATGAGTAGTGGGATCACGCATTGAAACAAGGAGAGTTTTGTATGGAATCTCAGGCTTAAGAGTTTCAGCAAAAATTTTAAGTGTTCCACCACTATCAGCACCTCCTTCACTGTTCTGGAATTCTTGAAGCCTACGTTGCAGTTTTCTTTCACGGCGCATTTTCATGACAATTTCTGGGTTAGAAATACTCCGAGTGAAGCCACTTTCAGGAAGTTCATTGTAAAGTGTTTGTGCAATTGCAGAGTCGTCAGATGATTTAGTTGGGGACGAAGGACCCAGTAATTTAGCTTTTTTGGCTTCCTCCACTCTCTTCTTTTTCATTTCCTTTTTCTCTCTCTTTGACAATTTCCTTTTAAAACTTTGACCGGGATCATTTTCATCATTCTTAAAAACGTTTGTAGCAACCAGGGCTTCTGAATCACTTTTCAACAAAAATCGACCCTCCCTGTCATCCTCTTGCCATAACAGCTGAACAGCCAAAGGCCTGTCATCATCTTGAAGTTTTCTGGAATCTGCAAATAAGTTCGTATTATTATTAGCTCTTTTGACAGAAATAGTCAATAAACACAGAGGTTTCATGGCCTGAGCAAACCATAGGGCTAAAGATCAAGATGAACAAAAAAAGTAATTAACTCTACTCATCATAAGACAATCTTATTGTAACTTGCAATAAAATTCATCATGAAAGGAAGGTGGACAGTTTATTATTAAACCAACAAATCCAAAAACAGTGTTCAACATAATGACAAGTGGTACCCAAATGTTGTAAGTAATCAATTTATGAGCACAGATGAGAATTTCAATTAATTGTTACATACAGGTGTAGGGCTCCAAATTAAGAACATTTGTCAAATTAGCACAAAATTGACCCTTGAAGTAATTATTCTTATGTTTGTGGCTAAAAAGGTTAAGCCTCAATATCAAATTTTAAAATTTACGGCAGTTCAGAAAGTGATACAGTATAATATGGATAATCCAATAAGAAGACTACAAAACAAGTGTGTTTTGTGCCATCAGACAAACTGTCTGCATTATCGAGTGTACCTGATTGTCACCAGCAAACTTGTAAGTCCCACTTGTTTACTGTACATATTTTCTTGCCATGGTCATTTAGATCAACAAGGAAACTACTGGTATATGTTTTTGAGTGTCTTGAAAATTCTTTGACCCCTCCAAAGTTCAGTAAAAGAAGGAGTACGCCAAATAACAAAAACTAAATATTTATTATCACTATTTTTGTTTCAAATTCTAAGATGGCCACTATCGATGATACGGGGCGAATACCGGATCGCGTTGAACAAAAAATATCGCCACCGACTTCTTACAAATAACACGTACAACACTGTAATATAGAAAAGCTATCTCTCAAACTAATAGCATCTAAAATAACCGCCAAAAATCTCAGTGATTAATTCTGGAATAGCGTGAAAAGTTTTCGAACACATGATCGACTTCGTGAAGAATGCCAGAAATTTCTCAACGGAAATATGAGACGAGAAATAAAGTGACTGAGAATTTTAACACTGTGGTTGATCAGAGATCTTTAACGAGTTGAATTTAAAACGACGAAAAATGTGCACTTATGAATGTGGAGTTTAAAAGAAGTGAGATATCCTTAAGGCGATAATTATTTTTTAGCCAATTGCCGCATAAACAGGACACTGACGAAACAGACGAAATCTACAACTTAACCTTCCTCGTATCACGAGAACGGGTCCGTATTAAAAATTACACATAACGTTTAACTGGGCGTTAATTGTTCAATGCCACCAAGCTGTGTTCGAAGTTTTCTTCGCCAATTGCAGAAACACAAGAGGGTTGGCTTACAAGATGGTGCTACAAGATTCCAGCAAATTTGAAATAGTGCGAATGATTTTACATAACCGAAAAGTAAGACCATTTGTAGCAAGGTCGCGAAACCAAGTGTCCAAAAGACAAAAAGCGCTCGTGTAAATTAAAAAATGAATAAATTATTAGCATTTTATTTATCTCAAAAGTCTACCAAAGCTGTAATAAATCGAGCAACGTCACTAAGGATATCTAAACCAGTGCAAAGGAGCTCATTTGGAAGGCTTCTCGATGTCCAAGCTTACCTCCATTCGGGTGAACTTCATACAGGGAATAGTTTGGATTTGTGAGCATTTTCATATCCGGGCGAAATTTCTCCACCAGCGTTCGTGTTACATCATCCGCTGTTTCCAAGCTAGTTACGCGGATACACTTGGTGGCCATCTTTGCTCCAGCATCTTGGAAGAAAAACCGCATCACGCCGCGGTACTCTAACTCCTGTGAAATAAACACCTCAAAACTTAACAGTGTAAAGACAAACATCAAACCCTAGAATAACATCTTTAAGAGAGCAAGGAAATGATACAAAATTCACCAAACTGCACTGTTTTGAAGCCAGTGAGCATCATAACAACAAACTTACTTCATTGGGCTCGCTAATCTCGAAGATATCCAAACGGCTAGCGTTCCATTCAGTAATCAGTCTTCGCAAATACTCGCGTTCTTCTTGCTTCGTTCGTATGTCCTCCATGTTTGTTAGCAGTTTTTCGCCACCCTATACCATCGGAGAACTCTTCGACTCTTAAACGGGATAACTCAATTCGATTCGAATGACAAATAACCTTTTTCAACCTGGCGAGACAATTTGACTTAAAGAACAAGTCTATCACAGGACGTATATCCACAGCCACCGTAAACGATTGCAAGAATGCATAATTACGGATCAAAAAATCCGCGCATGTGATTGGTCGATACACAAAAGGAATGTCTCGTCACTCATGCTGCGCTATCTTGCGGGGGTGGGTGGGGCTGTCAGCTGTTATTTTCAGCGACATACATCGGCATCGAAATTTGTGGAGCAGCGGCAATTTACTAAAGCAAATATTTAAAACGCGCGCCCTCCAGCCCGATCCCGAACGATAAATATTTTCAAGAAACCTCTAAACTCACACCATTTTAGCTGAACTTCTACTTTCTCTACATCAATTGCTAATTATTTGGATTTAAATACACAAATCAAAACTCTTCAATTAAAAGTTGACGATGCAGTAAATTTATGCCACTTTCACTAAAAGGACTCTGCTGTGATATGATTTTTATTTTATTGTATTCCGCCCCCTGTGTGCACGCCATTATTTCTTACAAGACTTCCCAAAGTTTGGGTGTGAATCGATGATCTCCTTTAAGAGGCTTTCTACAAAGTCTGTTTGCCGATCACAAATAAGTCAGTCCATAGCTTTGTCTAATTTTTTGACGGATTTAAAATCAGTTGTCTGGTTGATAGTCACGATTTGCCTATCTCTTTTTCCTTCCGACTGTCCAATTTTGATCGGTGGGTTCGGTGGCGGCCTAGATGGACGAAAACTATAATCGAAATGTAGATCATGGAGGGGATATGACCAGATATAGCCTTCTGAGGTCGTTGATTCATTTATAATTCAATTTTTTTTCTCGTACTGATACTCCGTTAGCGTGACCTTAAAAATACATTGTGGATTAAGAATTTATAACAATGACGTAATATTATAATTCCTTAAATGGTCGAATGGCCAGTGAATGTTACTGGCGAATATTTTACTTGATCATTTTATAGTCTAACGGATGATAGGTTGGTTTAATAACTTTAACTTCAACAAAAGAAGAAGCAAATATAGCCAGACATTAGTGAACCCCGCCGTGGACACAAACGTTTAGCAAGACGTCTAGCAGAAAATACCAAAGAAAAACTGCCTGTTCAAAGCACTAGTTAAAATTCCATATCATATCTATTCTTTGATTTAGAGCATGAAATTATTAACGGTTTCTCTTGGTCTACTTAGCCTTTACAACGATGATGTCATTTGAATGCCTTTTCTTTAAAATTCCAGAACTTCCTGAATTTACAGTTTAAAAATTAACTGAAATAAACGCCAGAAGGCCTTTTTTCAGTACTGCCTTTCCAGCTTACAATAAGAATAACTGACAGCGACAGAGACGATACTAAATGTTATGTTTCTATTAACTTTTAGCTTGTCAGTCATAACATTTAAAAACTCGAGGAAGTAGGGCGGAAACGATTTTCATTTTAAATAAATGTTTTGCATGCCGCACTAAAATTCCTTGATTTTTAATTTTAAAGTGACGTCACGCGTAATTTGTAGAAAAACTGAAAATCAAATTTTGCATAATAACCTAAAAGTGCCTAAATAATTTTAAAGATTTATATAACATCTAGAGAAACCGAAACATTTTCTTTTTCTTATCACCAAGCACTGGAAACATTCTCGGCTATGAGGTCTGATTGGGCACGGTCACAAGGTCACCGGTTGATCCGGTACAAAATCACGTTCGAAACAATATAAACACCGATTAGATGAAATATCAACAAACACTATGTAAACGAAATAAATTCCTAAAACGTTTTACTATGCATCATGATAAGATAGAATACGTTTAATAAAAATATTTTTCTTGTATATGATCTTCTTTTTTTTGTTTTTGTTTTTTTTTTTAACTAGTAGTACAAGTTCATGATAATAAAAATCCATTTGATTGCCTCAAAAGGTTGAAATCATACCTCAACCACTACCCAATTAGAATAACGAAAAACTCAAGCTCCCAGTTGGCTTGCTAAGCACTGGCATCGCAGAGGTCAGGTTCGGCGCACGCCTGAATTTTTTCAGGCTTTTGTTTTACAACTCAACAAGTTGAGTCTTTAACTGCGATGATCTTCTTTACATTTTTTATTTATTCCGTGGATAAAATATGACAAAAAAATAATTGACCATGACATTGTAAATTTGACGTAAGCATACCTGGAGGTCAACGTCATTTTTTAACAGTTATTTAGAACATTTCTACATGAATTGATGATTACGGATCGTCTAGTCCTTAAAGCCAGACTGAGTTTTAGAGTCTACAGCACTCAGAAAGATTTTTATAATTCTTTTCAGCCCTCGTCATGACTCAAACTTCCGGTGTAACTTATGCTAAGAATGAATTCGAGTGAATGCTTGAAAATCTAGGAAACGTTTTGTTGTTATAATAACTTCCTTGAGAATGTTTTGATAGAAATGCCAAAGTAGAGGACGTATCTAGCTATAAGCACGTACGCTTGCGTGCCTGAGAAAAAAAAAAGAAAAAAGAGGGTATACCCCTGGTATACACGTTTCCTAGAAAGATATAAATGCATGCAATGACTCAAAGAGATAAAAACTAGGGCGCAAGATCATTTTCAAGTTTTTCACAAAGTAAAGAACACTAACACTTTTCCTTATGATGTCTATAATGAAAACGGCAAATGGAAAATGGGACAGACAAACGGCATCAAGATAAATCAGGACGGAAAAATGGTCACGTGATAATATTTGAGTGTGATTTTGATACGAATACAACTTTGAGACGAAAATTGGTGAAAAATTAAGAAATCAATCTCTCTCCCTTGAGAACGGCTTTGCCTTTCTCGATATTTCTTCAATCTTGGAAGAGATTTGGAGCACTTTAAGAATGGCATGGAGGTCAAAAGGTTAACAAAGCAAAAACAAAAAGATACAAATAAAAGGAAATATTAAACAAACGGGAAATTAAAGGTTGAAGGATTAAAAAGCTGTACAGTCGCCCCAAGTCACGTCATTGCGCGATTAAAGTTTTGGCGGCGGAGCCACTGGATCTAACAAAGTGATTGAGGGTTAAAAAAGTTATGAGGACTATTAAAATTACTACCGAAGAGTAAATGCTTCGATCTTTTATCAAATTCTCTCACCAAATCTCATGAGGAAAGTGTGGAGAATTTGCGTGTGGATAATAGCAGCTTAAAGGCTGAGTGCATCTTGTCAGTGACTACAGCCACCTCTCATGGACCTTCCTTGCGGAGGTGAGTGATGAAATGCGGCTGAACTGTCAGGCTATCATTGAAGTCATTGGCAGGGCACAAAAGTGTGGGCATCCCACTGCCTAGACTAAGCTTTTCCCGATTGTGTTCGGCAACTTTTGAGCAACTTTTTGGCGCTTGGAGCAAATTTTTGCGGTTCTAGCAACCTCGAGCAAATTTTGCCTTTCTGAGCAATTTTTGAGCAAAATAGGTTTGGAGTACATATCAAGCACGAAAAGTCAACGATTTCATAGACAAACTTGAATTTTTTTAAATTTAAATTTTTTTTTCACCGATGTTAGTAATTATTGTGAAGAACGAAAAAAAGATTTTAATTGACGTTTATATAAAATACCAAGAAATTTAGGTGGCAACTTTTTCGGGTTCCCCTTTCGTATACCTTCTATTAGCAAATGGTACCCTTTTCACATATCTTGCTAAGAACTTTGCACCTTTTTTTACCTGCTGTAAATGTACTGTCTTAAACATATGAATAAATTACAAAACCAGGAAATTTTCTCGACTTTTGCACAGCCATAAAGCCTTTATACAGATAAGACCAAAATGAAAGATTTTCCTACCCCTTTATTTACTTTAGCGAGTGAAATCCCTACCGTTTAATATCCCTGAACCCTGAGAAAGGTACCCCTTCCGGCCGGGCGAGGCCTCCCCATATAGGCCATCAAAGTGAGTACCTCGCGGGAGATTACAAGTCCTTTTCCGTTTTCTCCTGGCTAGGTGGTCAGGTGGAAAACGGACGTTTCTTGCCTGCAGCCAATATTTTAGACCCACCAGTTTTCTGGTCCGCGGTGTGATGCGGGTGTCAGTCTATTCAGTGATCAACACAATACTTCTGACATATCAGAAGGTCAGCAATCAAACCTTGGTTGATGTTATGCATTCACAAGCCATCGTGTTGAACAATATAATTTGTTTTACATTGTCTGTCCATGCAAGAGGGAAGAAAGAGGTTAGACTACGAGTAGTCCCCTATTTTCCTGGGGGATAGTAGACCGAGCGAAACGCGAGCGCGCGTGAAAATCACCTTACGCAAGAAAGGCAAGACGCGGCGGGAAGAGAGAACCCTTCTCGCCTGGGGTGATTTTTATGCGCACTCTACTATCCCTGAGGAATGGGGACTACTCGTAGTCTTTCTAGGAAGAGGTCGGGTGAGGGAATTAACGCATTTCCTTAGCGCTGCTTAATAACAAATATTGTTTTTCAGCAATTCACAATGGCATTATTAGTATTTTTTTCTCTAAACGATCTAATATACTACTAGAACAGAAAGGATAACTAAATCCAGCATTACAACAAAAATAAAATCACAGAAGTTTAATTCCAAGGGAACACCAGATTACAAATTTAGACATTAGTTCAGACATTTCACACCCCTGAAGTTAAAGGCCAGCTAACTGAGAGGGGATATTCACAGACAAAAATCATAGTGAGCAAAGTTTCCAAGAGGAATTGAGCATCAAACAAGTTCCAGAAGCGTTTGAATAGCCCACGTTCCATATATCAAACTTCTAACATGACTCCAAGGCTTTAGGGTCAAAATTGCAAATCTTTCACGACTCCACTGTCTCACAATTCCCAGAATAGACTTGAGCACAAAGAAAACCAACCGAAATATAGAAAAATGACCAGAAAGAATCAGAGTCATGTTAGAATTTTAATACATCAAATGTGGGCTATTAACTGCTTGTAATTAGCCAGAAATGCTTCTCGACCTGGTTCAATATCCCATTTCTGATGCAAACCTTCAACCCTACATGTAACATTGTATAACAGCTAATTTCTCCTTAAATGCTCAGTCAGGCATACAAGTCACAAGAAGAAAGAAAGTGGTAAGCAAGTGTAAAGTCTTGATTTTTGAACTAATTCTCCTCAGAGTTAGATACAAGAACTGTATGGAGAGCAGTGTCGAGAATATGTAAGCTCATATGAGGGTTCAAAGGGTCAAACTTTGAAATAGTTTCATCTGCAAAAGCCCCATCTGAGACAGCTGTCCTTGAGTCTTCAAGGATGGAAATTTAATAAAATGTTGATATTAAGTATAAAAGGACATGCATTGCTTAATTAAATGTAATTATGCTTGGACACACAGTACTTTACTCTACTTTGCAGGCAGGAGTAACGCAATGCTCCCCGCAAGACTAACACTGCCAATGTCTTGAAAGAATTTTGAGGAAAAACAATAAATCCTAATTGACCTTCTTGTTCACATAAACGTTAAAAGGGTCCATGAAATAGAAGAAAATGGAAGTGTAGTAAAACTGGTATACACTGTAGGAGACAATGCCATACTAGAAAGAAATCATTGCTTTGCACCAAGTATAAACAAATACGGCTGTGTAAAATAGATTGAATTGGAACAGGAAATCAAGGCCTGTTGAGTGCTCGACACAAAAGTGTATATCAAAGACTAAATAGTTTGTAACTTACTGCTAAAAATGGGTTTAAGTGCTAAAAAACATTTCTCTACTTTGTAGACTACATTGAACACATGCATGTGTAACAATTGATGCATTTACTGTACGAGTTTACATAAACACTACTGAAAACTCACTTGTTTAAGTGAAAACTTGAAAGTCACTAATACAACCTCTAACAGGTATCTGTGTCACTTTATATAATCTGTTGAGTAAGCCGCCTTATTTCAAGAATGCTCAACAGCAGGAACAGGCTCAGCTTTAATAATATGAGTTACAGTGTAAAACACTGATTTCAATGTTACTCAGTCCTCCTCAACTTCATCCTCCACTTCAAGTTCTTGCTCACCTTCGCCATTTTCTTCCTCTCCATCTCCGTTAACTGCTTCTGGACTACCTTCCTTTTCCTCGCCATCACCATCAGCCTCGGCACCTGCATCCCCTTCTTCCTCCTCCTCTTGGTCCTCCTTCTCTGGACTCTTCTCCTCTTTGTCTTCTTCCTCCACAGACTTGGACCTTGATCGCTCTTTCTCTTTGGACTGTGAGCGGGACTTTGACTTGCGTGATTTGGAGCGTGACCTTGAACGAGATGAAGAATGATGGCGTTTCTTTGGTGATTTGGAACGGGACTTTGAATGGCTGCGAGAACGAGAGTGGCTTCTATTGTGAGAACAGGACAAACATTTCATGCATGAAAATGAACGTAAATGTATTCATGTGTGGCACAAAGATTTCAAGTTGCCAGAGGAAATATGTTGTGTACAGGTATAAAATAGGACTGTCACTAAGATTTCAAGTTGCCAGGTAAATGGCAAAAACAGGTCTCACAACTAAAATCTCACACTGGTAAGCCTTTTACAACAAGGGAAGGTGTAAAACAAACTGAAAGATGTCAAGAAATGCTTAAATAATCCACCAAGATTGGTCAAACATGCGTCAAAAACATTTGCCTGGTTACTAAGCATGGAAGAATGCAACTCCATCTGATGAGGTTTGTTTTGACTGAAAGATGATTTATGTGATAATGTGCTTCGAAAACATAATATTTCTGCCATTATCTTTTCTGACTAAAAGAATCACGTTTCTGTCACTTAAACATTCTTACCTCTTTTTACGCTTTGGAGATCGAGATCTACTGCGGCTACGTGATCGACGTGAGTATGATTTCACCTTTTCCTATTTGGAAGNAGGAAATATGTTGTGTACAGGTATAAAATAGGACTGTCACTAAGATTTCAAGTTGCCAGGTAAATGGCAAAAACAGGTCTCACAACTAAAATCTCACACTGGTAAGCCTTTTACAACAAGGGAAGGTGTAAAACAAACTGAAAGATGTCAAGAAATGCTTAAATAATCCACCAAGATTGGTCAAACATGCGTCAAAAACATTTGCCTGGTTACTAAGCATGGAAGAATGCAACTCCATCTGATGAGGTTTGTTTTGACTGAAAGATGATTTATGTGATAATGTGCTTCGAAAACATAATATTTCTGCCATTATCTTTTCTGACTAAAAGAATCACGTTTCTGTCACTTAAACATTCTTACCTCTTTTTACGCTTTGGAGATCGAGATCTACTGCGGCTACGTGATCGACGTGAGTATGATTTCACCTTTTCCTATTTGGAAGATAAAAGGTAAGAAAAATTTAACACTCATTTCCATGGTCCTAGTGAACAAGTGAGAAACTAACAAAAAAGACTGAATGTAGTCTCTTGCTCCTATATTCTTTTGTTTTTAAGCAAGGATGACATTGCTGAATGGGATTTAATGACCTGACCTAACAGCTTTTAAAAACCTTTGAAGCATAAAGAACCTTTGTTAACTGTAAAGCAGGTAAGAGAAGGGGAAATGGGGGATAGGCCTTACAACTTTGAGACGGATGCGCCTGCCATTTAATTCTGAATCATCAAGTTTCTTTAAAGCATTCTTCATGTCCTCTTTGGTGGCGAACTCTACAACTCTGCAGAGAAAGAAAAAAAATGAACAGCTGAAAACTGCAGCAACAAACTGTACATAAAAAAAACCACATGATGTCATGTTTAAACATTTCATTACTATGCCTCCACCCAGCAAGTGCTTTCACATGGTGTTATTCATTTAGCATGTTGTTCTAACTTTTGCATCTGTCAATGAAATCCTCAAATGAAATCTCTTTGGCAGAACTTTTCAATAGTACTATTTAGATCTTCTGGTTTTACGAATAGAAATTTGGACTGACAGGGCTAAATCACACCTCTGATTAATACTCACCCTTCTCCCTGTCTTCTCTTATGGGCATCAGCAAATGTAACTTCTCCAGCTTTAGAAATGTACTCCTTTAAATCCTGAAACAACACTTCAAGTTCACTTTTATGATTCACAATACAATAACAGAGAAACATAACAAAAGACATTGAGAAAAATGTATCCTAGAGACAAGGTTCCAACAAAATAGAATGCTGGATCTGTGAGGAATACAACAAGATAGAAGGCCGTTTGATTATCAACATGACATGTACAAATGTAAGCAAATTCTTGAAAGCTTTGAAATTTTGTAAAAACAGGCAATAGGAACACTCTTTGGCACTGAGAACTTTTAACATTATAGTCGAAAACCAACCACTGTTAGTCTATAATTACACACTTGTATGTTCCCTTGGGCTTCCAGCAACCATGTTACTGTACTTACCATCCAGTAGTCTTTTGCATCAATTTTAGAGAATCAAATGTTACAAATTGGAAACGGAATGTGGCTGATGAGCACCGGTGGCCAACTGTAAGTTTTAGCTCATGGCACTGAAGACAGAGCCCTCACTGGTTGGATGGAGGAAAATAGCACTAACTTAAGCCCTGAAACACTGTCTGTTTGTTGAGGCAAGGGTACGGTACGGTACTCGGAATGGAAAATTAACATGGCATCGCCACAGTGCTCAAACATCTCGGCACTTGCTGCTACGGTTGGTTGGGTAGCAGAGGCTCAAATGGAGTCCGTCTGTCTGTCTGTATGAAACTGACTGAATGACCGACTAGGAGTAGGGCAGGCAGACTGGCTAGGACATGGCATAGCTAGCTTTGGATATCTACAGATCAATCAAGAGGTGGTGATCAAAAGTCAATTTTTTGGAAACCATGATAGTTACCAATTGAATTTCAATACATTTTATTACCTACAACTTCGAACATTTGGTTGTATCCTACAACAAAGTCAACGTAATCAAATGAAACTACCCTATCAAAATGCATTGAAAAATACAATATCAACTGAAACATGTAATGAGTGTAGAACAAAAAAAGAGAATTCTAATGAAGGAGATCAGATTTCCAATCAGCTTTGACTAAGAACACTGAATCATTTACTAATAAAAAGTCATCTCCCATCCTGTCCTTAGACAAAACGCATAAATATAGACACTGTAATAAACTACATTTATGACAGGGAAATAGACAAAAAAATAAGCTTATGCAATTACACACCTGCCAGTTGATACGTGAAGAAAGATTTTCCACCGCAAGCCTGTGTTCTGTCCTAACTGGTGGTGAGCGCCCTCTTCTGGGAGGTCTGCTACTGCTTAGAACAAAATTGATAATTATAAGTAAGATCAACTCATTCTGGTGACTTCTGTGATTGTTTAGGAACTTTACTTGAAGCTGGTTTGGACATCCAAACATCTTTCATGTTAGAAAACATTAGCACATACTTCCATGTTCAATGAAATAAATCTACTGTTGAAGTCATCTTGCAGTAAATAGACTGTAAATCAGTAGTCCCTGGAAGCATCTCCTTTCTAACACAGTACTTTGAGACAGACTGTATACAACCGATTAGGATTATTGGCAGTGAAAACTTGCAATGCTGGTGAGCCTTGCACTTGACATAACAGAATAAAATCATTTGCTAACTTTTTTGTGCCTTGGTGAATATATTGTTGAAATTAGCCACGACTTTCCATCAGCCAAATGACTTCTAAAAAAAAAGTTAATTTTTTGTCCTGTATGTCTGTATAAAGCACTCCTTTATTGCCAGATTTATTTACCTTGGTGCACTACTTCTGTAACCATAGTCTGAAGTTCTGGATGGATTTCTTGCATGTTCAACCACAACTCTGTTTTTGTAAATAAGACAAGGCTACTTCCTTAGTGATCAGCCCCGTCAAAATGATTTGCACTTGTAGGCAGTATAACTGCTTAGTGCCAGGTAGCAAGGGCTTGAGTTTGTGCATTCATTTTCTTCTTATCTTATCATTCAATGAAAACAAGATTTAAAAGGGCTATGTCACACTATTTGCTATCTTTTTAAAAAGATAAAACATTTTTTCTGCCTTTATTGAATTCCAAAAGTAATGGTCCAGGGGCCCATTTCTCAAAAGCCCTGGTAACGTTTCGGGCCCGAAATCAAATTTTCAAATCGAAATATAAAGAATAAGAGCGCAGGTCCTGGCTAGCAAACTACTCCATTTTGTTTCATTAACTGATAGTTTTATCATGTTAGATGCAAAACTGTTGATACCTCTACCTTGCATGTAAACAACAACAGCTCAATGGGCCCGTTAATTATCGGGACTTTCGAGAAACGGGCCCCAGGTTTGTTATTTAATTAAGACTATATTTAGGTATTGATACTCTCCCTGTCATCTGTTACAAGGGATGGCAAGGATAGACTTGGATTGAAACTTTAAAAAAAAAATACTTGGGCCAACTTTTTCAACTTTTCATGCTACGTCTACAAAAAACAACCAAAATAATATTGTAGTTTGTGCTCTCTGATGAGACTTGTTTGATATCTTCTTCATATCTCTAACAGAGCACTTTGTTTATAGTTAAAAGCACTAAGTAATGACTTTCAGCGCAGAATAAACAGCATTATCTTCATTATAGAGCCCCTTTACGACTAGTTTTTTTCCTAGTGACAGATTCCGAGTCAAAGTTAAGGGTAGAGCATTTCAGTCAAGAGAGTTAAGTAAAATAAATTACTCTGAGTTAAATGCAGTGCATTATGATCTGGTGAAAACGACCTTCTAATTATTATTCCCCTTACTACCCTCTTATAATTATTTTGATAAAACACTAATTCTCAACTCTGTTCCAAAAGGTTAAATTGAAGTATAGTTAGGCACTAAGCACTCTAGACCTCAGGTGTAACCTAACCCTTATCACTAAACTCGGAGTCATTCAGCGTTCCGCATTCGGCGTTCTGCTAAATACCCCTACTTTGTATTTGGACGTAAAGAGTACAATATACGATATTTTATGTAAGCTTACTCACTGCTTTCATATTGATCCAAGAAGCATTAGTTTGTTTAACCACGATGTTAAACATCGGCTTATCTTACTTTTAATGTGCAGGTATTCACGGAACCAATTTCAATGAACTTCCTTTTAGTCATTAATGACAGAACTCGTGATAAAATTACCTTTCTCCTAAAAGTTCTCTTCCATTTAAATCATATACACAATCATCTGCGTCTCTTGGATCATCAAATTCCTAGCCAAAGGGAAACGAAAATACAGTTCAAAGCTACGACAGTAAGATTATAAATGCTCGATGGCTTGTATTTCCGCACTTACCACGAAACCGTATCCAGCTTTGATGCTAATTTCACGCACTCTGCCAAATCCTCGCACAAACCGCTCTAAATCTCTTTCTCTTGTATCTCTGGGAATCTTTCCAAAGTAGACTCGTGTACCACCACGAGACATATTCGGCGATTTAAATTTCGCGAAAGGAAAAAATGAAGACACGAGGAAAACAAAATGGCGGCTCCCAAGCGGGGCTTTTGTGAACGCCGATGTCCCGGATGAACACGCTGGGTATTGTTATAAGCGAGCCCAGGAACGTTCAGCAAAAAGGGGCCTCCGTAGGTGCCTCGGCTTAGCGTAAAAAGGACCCTGTGAGCCAGGGGGAAGACAAACATTTGCGGGGCGAAAAAGGAAGCTGACTTCACTTCATTATAAACCAGAATAAATATCCCTTTCTCTGCTGGTGCCTGGACCTATGACTCACCAAGGGCCGCTGGAGAAGTACAAAATTAAGAGCAATTCTTCGTTAAATCCTCTGAAGAACGGAGGGCTTGTCCGTCCGAAATATCGGCAAACCTCAAGTCGCTTTTGTTTTAACTGTTTTGTTATTACTTTTTATATTTTTGGAATTTTAAAGTCCTCCCTTCTTTTCTTTTTTTATCCCCAGTTACAGCGTCAAAGCGGATAACTTCCAGCAACACCTACAGGAAAGCTCAATCAAGTGCATAAAAATTCTTTTTGGCCAAATGAAATCGAATCACTGGTTTATGGCAGGCGCTTATAGCTAACTTTCCCTTGATAAGATTGATATTTTATGGCAACGAAGCGTTGGAAGTATGATACATTACATGCTATTGTTCAATGTGAAAGTGCATTTTTTGAGGACATTAGTAAACGAAATTCAAATTTTACTGAACTACCCCATACTCTTAACATATATGGTGGTTAATATTGATGTAAGTTTTGTTTTGAGTAGCAAAGGAATCCTTCTGTGTAACTCACCTGCTAGTGTATTAGTCCTTAACAGAACATCTCCCTCTCTCTTGCACACATTTGTTGTTGATACACTACTCAACTTTCCATTGCCATTCAACATACCGGTAATTCTGCGTTACACCAACTCATCCCGCGTAAACGCCTTCGGGCGTCTTCTTGTTTAGTTAGCTTTTGGATTTTTCTTTCTCACTTACCAATTGAGGCTAGTGGAGGGGTATTGAAACCAGAGGGTGACTTCCAGGAACTGTCCACTGTAACATAGCTATTTACCTCGGGCAGAAATTCTGAATAAGTCCAGAAAGGCAACTCATCAGCCAGGCATGTGCTCATCGGTAGCCTCAGTTGCTCGGCAACTTTTGCTATTTAAATTTCGGAGCAACTTTTGATTTTTGGGGAAGCTTGATCAAATCATTAGCAACTTATGGGAATTAGAAAATCCTCTAATTCTGTTTAGCGCTTAGTTTAACAAAGTCTGAATTCAACCCTATGACTCACGCCCCCCCTACTCAGTTGGACCACCCACTGATTGTAATTGAGGTCCGCAAATAAGACCACGTTTATCAAACTATAGCGAAAAATATCCAAACATAGGAGTCATACCTTGGGACCAGGCTCGGCAGTAGGAAAAAGCAGAAAACAGGGTGAAACAGCAAGAAAAAAGTCGGTGAGCGAGGCGAGCCGAGCGGTGGACTAGGGAGGGGGAAAGGGTTGAGGCAGGCGGACTGCTTCGGACTGCCGACTACCGCTCAGCTCGCATCGCTCGACGTTTTTAATTATTTTTAAATTTTATTTCAGATTTTTTTATTTTTTGCACTATTTCAAAACGTTACTACAAAAATTACAATAAATTACAAAAGGAAGAAAAAAATTAAAACAGCAAACTACATAAATCATCAAAGATGAAATGTGCACAGTGACCAAAGGAGCTTAGGCTTTCGAGCTGGTCACCGCCAATTGCAACTATCTGGCGTAGACATTTACATAAAACTGCAACTAACGTATAACGGATAAAGGAAAATTAAAAGTGTTACTTACGATTTTATATAAAAACAATAGAAATGATTATTGATAGTGCGGGCAGAGAATCAAATTACCGATTGGGTCAGTTTAAAGGTACCGTTTGTATTGTAAGCTTTTTTAATTCAGAGGGAATGTTTTCCCAATTTTTAAGATCCAACAAAAGCAAAAGTGGCAGCTTCATAATAATTATTGCTTATCCTTAGACGATGAAAATTAGGGTTGGATTTCGCCTTCACTGATTTTTTTTGTTTTCGCCTTATTTCCGATCCCATTGCCGAGCCTGGTCCATGGTACTGAGTAGTTCAAAGGAAGAACTTTTACTTCTCTGTCTCGAATGAAAACGACCCTATCAGAAAAGGACAATGAACCACAGGAAGGTGCGAGCTCCTGTGTTTTATGAAGCATTTCTCCCGATCGCTTGAATCAAGCGAGAGAGGGAATCGAAATTACGAATGTATGAGATCACATGTTGCGCGTGACATCACGATGCCTCGAAAAGTTCGGATGGTTCGCCTGTGAATGAACTTGCACAATGAAAACCAAAGAGGTAAAAATCTTGATCTGAGAGGGTTTTCGTCTCACAACGTTCTGTTCACGCAACTGACACTGACCGATTTAGGAGGGGGATACGGTATGGGGATTTGCGGTGTTGCGGTGTTCCGGTGTCGCTAATTTTTTTTGTGCTAGTTGCTGTGAGTAAATTCCCCTCTTGCGGTGTTGCGGTGCCTCAAACTATATGGTGAAAAACCAACGGCACTTGGTGAACGTAAGAGCTTACGGACCCTCTGCGGTGCTGTGGTCTATTATTTGACCGTGGTCACTACAACGAGGAACATTAAGAACATTGAGACTTGAATTAAAAACTCCCTTTATAATTTATATTTTTAAACGCTTTGTCAAAGGCTGCAACATCGATATCGAGGTCATTGCGCCTACAACAGAGTGCATAACCGGCTGAGTGTGAGTCGTTTCTTTTTTATTATTGTGGTCATTGTGACTAGTGAACTCTTAATGGTTAACGTATCCACGATTTCTGTGGTCAGTCACCTTTTTATTGCTTTATGGAGGGACCAAGAAGAGTTGTCCCTTTCCCCTGAATAGAGGCGTCCCTTCATTAGAGGTAAGAAATACAAAGATTGCGTCAACATTTTTCCGGGACCAAATTTTGTATCCCCTGAATGGAGGTGTCCCTTGAATTGAGGTGTCCCATCCCGGGCTCCTTCGCCCGTACTTGAGAACTTTCGTCGCGCCTTTACTCCCGACCCGACTGATTGCCCCTGCCCCTGCCCCTGGGTCTACGAGGATGGTCGTGCCTCGTTATGATGCTCAATCTAAATCGTAACGCCTGGTGACTTTCTGCTGGTGGCAACTGAAGAAGTCATTGTGATCAGCTTTTTTTGGATTATTCTGCCTTCAATCTGCTACTAAACCCAAGGCATGATTTCTATATGCTAACGATGATGTTTTCCTAATCAGAGATCTTTTTCGTTGATATGAAAAGACGGCGGGAGGAGCTTTATCGCCATGACATCGATTTTCCCCCGTCGTTGTCGATATGTCCCGTTTGTGGGACATCAGTGTCAAAGGAAAACATTGGAATTCACGTTGAAGAACATTTTACTCAGCCTTCTACATCTTCTGAGGGTAACAGATTCGATGATCTAGAAGGTAAGATAAGTACTATCGAAATCGCACGTAAAACGTCAACAAAAGTAGCGAATTTAAAGCCTCTAGCAGGTCCTAAAGCTAGCTTGAGTTACTCTGGCTGTTAATTAATGTTTGTTTTCGTTTGATTTTAGTACAAGGAATTTCTGATTCTGCCGATTTCCGGGCCTGTACATATGGAAAATGTCAAGAGTTAGGTAATGTTCAGTATTTGACTTTTCTTGGTGCATTTAAAGACCTTATAGTTCGCCTTAAATTTTTCTTCTCAAAATGGTCTCCTATAAATATTTCAACTCAACCATTCCTTAAATTATACATTCACAAGAAGTTTAAATGTTCCCTCTTTCAGCCAACAGAAGTAATGTTAGGAAATTGTCTCTCACAAAGTGTTTAAATGACAACTAAATGTATACATAATAAAAAGAATTGAATTAACTAAATTAAGCTTAACTATTATTGTTGACAAATTTTAAAATGAATTAGTGGCAAAATTTTAAATATTAGATGAAAATATTGATTTTTGACTGTTGTTATTCTAAGTTTACTTTGATTCCAGCAGATGACAGAGCCAAACAATCATACATAGAAGGTCACTCAATAGTAACTGGAACAGAATTTTTACCATGTAAGCCATTAATGCAAAGCCTCTTAGTTTTTTCTAAATTTTTTTCTAATCTTATTTTTTCTCTGACAGAAAAACACTGATACTTTGTTAAAGCTCTGCAAAACAGGGAATACTTGATTAATCATTTTTTGCCTTGAAGCAGAGAAGTATGCTACTGTTAGTATGTACTTGGAACATAACCATGGTAGGGTTAGCTTTGTCCATAGAGCACTTGACTGCAGAAAGGGATTTTGATTCCAGGGACCAAACCAATACTCAGGGGCTTGAGTTAACTGAGAAAAAAAGGTACTGCCCTAGCCATTCAAATGGCTAGGTTCTTGTGTGGCTTGGATGACCATTTAAAGAAGCAGTCCCATCTCCAGTAGGAGATGTAAATATAGTGTCCTAAAGAAGATTGCATTTTTGTGCTAAATACATTGACAATCAAATGGAAAGCAAATTCTTAAAGCTGTTGAATGTTAGTTTGGCAAGGGCAATATTGTTTTAAAAGGACCAGTTTTTCAATAAGAGAACAGAGAGGGGTTGTGTGAAAACTTCTGCTGGTAGACAACTCCAATGAGCACACCTGTATTCATGACCACAGCCACAGGTCTGGTCTTAAGTTAGTCCATCTCTGGGTAGTTTGATTTTAAAGGGAATTTTTCTCAAGGAAAAGGTAGATCACCACTCATATTTATACAATTTAAAAACATCCTCAATGTCACTTTAATTTTCAGCTTTTAAGCTACATGTACTACCCCTACAGCTTAAACATACAGCATGCTTTATTGTCCTTTTTTTTAATTTTTTTTTGCTGAAAAGTATATTTAAACTTGATATAAAATAACATGTGTTATTTCATATTAGAAAACAAGCAAAATATTCAGAAAACGTAAATTAAAAGTACAATACTTCACTAGTAATTATTAGATAAAAATAAGACTGTTTAATTGCTAGAATCAAAATCTAAAGAGTTTTTACTTAAGACTGCTTAACCCTTAAAACCTTAATATAAAATTACGTGTATAAATTCTCATATATTTGTCTTTTGACGCCATTTATTTCCTGTGGAAGTAGTAGAAACTAAATTGTTGAAGTATCAATATTTAATTCATCTTTTGTGATCATGTTCTTAATTCTCATGACCACTCTGTTCCATAAAGCATTGCTATTACATGGAGAAACTTTATGCTGATCTATCTCATGGCTTAAAGGGTTGAGTCATTCATAGCATTACATAGTTCTGGAGCATTAGGGTTAGTTAATTCACTCACCTGTTGGACAAATTAAGAACAGAATTCAGTAGCCCCACAAAATCCACTAAACCTGGGCTATTCAGACACAGTATTTCTCTGCATGCTTTTTCATATGGTTTGCAAACCACTACATTTCAAAATACCCTGAGGTTCATTCTGATGAGGTTTGTTTTGACTGAAAGATGATTTATGTGATAATGTGCTTCGAAAACATAATATTTCTGCCATTATCTTTTCTGACTAAAAGAATCACGTTTCTGTCACTTAAACATTCTTACCTCTTTTTGCGCTTTGGAGATCGAGATCTACTACGGCTACGTGATCGACGTGAGTATGATTTCACCTTTTCCTATTTGGAAGATAAAAGGTAATAAAAATTTAACACTCATTTCCATGGTCTTAGTGAAGAAGTGAGAAACTAACAAGAAAGAATGAATGTAGTCTTTTGCTCCTATATTCTTTTGTTTTTAAGCAAGGATGACATTGCTGAATGGGATTTAATGACCTGACCCAACAGCTTTTAAAAACCTTTTGAAGCATAAAGAGCCTTTGTTAACTGTAAAGCAGGTAAGAGAAGGGGAAATGGGAGATAGGCCTTACAACTTTGAGACGGATGCGTCTGCCATTCAATTCTGAATCATCAAGTTTCTTTAAAGCATTCTTCATGTCCTCTTTGGTAGCAAACTCTACAACTCTGCAGAAAAAGAAAAAAATGAACAGCTGAAAACTGCAGCAACAAACTGTACATAAAAAAAACACATGATGTCATGCTTAAACTTTTCTTCACTACACCTCCACCCAGCAAGTGCTTTCAAATGGTGTTGTTGTTCTAACTTTTGCATCTGTCAATGAAATCCTCTGGTGTTACAGCTGTACCATTCAAATGAAACCTCTTTAGCAGAACTTTAGCACTATTTAGATCTTCTGGTTTTACGAATAAAAATTTGGACGGACAGGGCTAAATCACACCTCTGATTAATACTCACCCTTCTCCCTGTCTTCTCTTGTGGGCATCAGCAAATGTAACTTCTCCTGCTTTAGAAATGTACTCCTTTAAATCCTGAAACAATACTTCAAGTTCACTTTTATAATTCACAATACAATAACAGAGAAACATAACTAAAGACATTGAGAAAAATGTATCCTAGAGACAAGGTTCCAACAAAATAGAATGCTGGATCTGTGAGGAATACAACAAGATATACAAGGCTGTTTGATTATCAACATGACATGTACAAATGCAAGCAAATTCTTGAAAGCTTTGAAATTTTGTAAAAACCAAGCAATAGGAACACTCTTTGGCACTGAGAAGTTTTAACAATATAGTCGAATACCAACCACTGTTAGCCTAAAATTACACACTTGTATGTTCCCTTGGGCTTCCAGCAACCATGTTACTGTACTTACCATCCAGTAGTCTTTTGCATCAATTTTAGAGAATCATATGTTACAAATTGGAAACTGAATGTGGCTGATGAGCACCGGTGGCCAACTGTAAGTTTTAGCTCATGGCACTGAAGACAGAGCCCTCACTGGTTGGATGGAGGAAAATAGCACTAACTTAAGCCCTGAAACACTGTCTGTTTGTTGAGGCTCGTCTGTCTGTCTGTATGAAACTGACTGAATGACCGACTAGGAGTAGGGCAGGCAGACTGGCTAGGACATGGCATAGCTAGCTTTGGATATCTACAGATCAATCAAGAGGTGGTGATCAAAAGTCAATTTTGTTGAAACCATGATAGTTACCAATTGAATTTCAATTATTTTATTACCTACAACTTTGAACATTTCGCTGTATCCTACAACAAAATCAACATAATCAAATGAAACTACCCTATCAAAATGCATTGAAAAATGCAATATCAACTGAAACGTTATGAGTGTAGAACAAAAAAAGGGAATTCTAATGAAGGAGATCAGATTTCCAATCAGCTTTGACTGAGAACACTGAATCATTTGCTAATAAACAGTCATCTTCCATCCTGTCCTTAGACAAAACACATTTATAGACACTGTAATAAACTACATTTATGACACAGAAATAAATAAAAAAATAAGCTTATGCAATTACACACCTGCCAGTTGATACGTGAAGAAAGATTTTCCACTGCAAGCCTGTGTTCTGTCCTAACTGGTGGTGAGCGCCCTCTTCTGGGAGGCCTGCTACTGCTTGGAACAAAATTGATAATCGTAAGTAAGATCAACTACAATACTGATACTAAAAAAGGCCCTGTTTAGCCATCATTTCCTTCATTCTGATGACTTTTGTGATTGTTTTGGAACTTCACTTGAAGCTGGTTTGGACATCCAAACATCTTTCATGTTACAAAACATTAGCACATGCTTCCACATACTCAATGAAACAAATTTACTGCTGAAGCCATTTTGCAGAAAATATACTGTAAATCAATAGTCCCTGGAAGCATCTCCTTTCTAACATAGTACTTTGAGACAGACTGTATACAACAGATTGGGATTATTGGCACTGAAAACTTGTCATGCTGGTGGGCATTACATTTAACATAACAGAGTAAAATCACATGCTAACTTTTTTGTGGCTTGGTGAATATATTGTTGAGATTAGCCTCTGCTTTCAAGCAGCCAAATGACTTCTAAAAGACAAAGTTAACTTTGTGTCCTCTATGTCTGTATAAAGCACTCTTTTATTGCCAGATTTATTTACCTTGGTGCACTACTTCTGTAACCGTAGTCTGAAGTTCTGGATGGATTTCTTGCATGTTCAACAACAACTCTGTTTTTGTAAATAAGACAAAGCTACTTCATTAGTGATCAACCCAGTCAAAATGATTTGCACTTGTAGGCAGTATAACTGCTTAGTGCCAGGTAGCAAGGGCTTGAGTTTGTGCATTTATTTTCTTGTTATCTTATCATTCAATGAAAACAAGATTTACAGCGGTTACCACTAACATGCGCCCTCAAAGGGTTTTTTCTTCAGTTCAAACCTGCGTTTTGGGGGACATCAATCAACCGTTACCATGGTTTTTCATGCGTTGGCCTAGAGAAGATTCTTTCTCCGTTTCTTGAGCACTCGGAAGAATATGTCGGCGTTTCAGCTGTTTTTGCAATATTTTGCTGCAGGATCTGACACCGCTTCATGTCAAGATTACGAGGAGTACGAATTTGTTGAGTGTTTGTCGGAAGAAACTCAAATTATCGACACATTGACACACTGTAAGTTACAACCACATAACCTTTCTCAATCACTCGCAACTCGTCTGAGTTCTTGCTAGTTCTGGTTTCTATTCAATAACATGAAGAATGATAAGTTGTAAAATTCATTTTTGAAAACAGCCTCCATTCAGAGGAAACTTGTTCCCTTTTCGGTGTGATATCTTTTGTTTCTTTGAATTTATACTAGCTTCTTGGCAGTTTAGTCGTCCACGGCTCCCGTGTTTTCATATATCAAATGAATAAACAACCTGAAAACCGTTACGTAAACTATAGAGAATGTTTCGGCTATTTCACTCAGCTCGCAGAGACCTCGTTGTTTTAACAATGTAATCCTTCATCTTAATAAAATAATTTTAAAAAGCTGTCATCGTTCGAAATTATTCGCCCTTCATTCAGCGATGAGGGAACCTTCTCTGTCAGAGCGCTTGGAAAACCATGGAAACAGTGGATTGATGTCCACAAAAACTCAGGTTTAAACAGACAGAAAAAACCCTTCAAAGGCGCGTGTTAGTGGTAACCGCTGTAAAAGGGCTATGTCACACTATTTGCTATCTTTTCAAAAAGCTAAAACATTTTTTTTTGCCTGTATTGAATTCCAAAAGCAATGGTCCAGCAGGTTTGTTATTTAAGACTATATTTAGGTATTGATACTCTTCCTGTCATCTGCTACAAGGGATGGCAAGGATAGACTTGGATTGAAACTTTAAAAATACTTGAGCCAACTTTTTCAACTTTTAATGCTATGTCTACAAAAACCACCAAAAAAATGTAGTTTGTGTTCTCTGATGAGACTTGTTTGATATCTTCTTCATATCTCTAACAGAGCACTTTGTTTATAGTTAAAGGCACTAAGTCAGTCAAGAGAGTTAAGGAATTGAGTAAAAATTACTCTGAGTTAAATGCAGTGCATTATGATCTGGTGAAAACGGCCTTCTAATTGTAATCCCACTTCCTACCCTGTGGCTTATAATTATTTTGTTAAAACACTAATTCTCAACGCTGTTCCAACAGGTTACATTAAACTATATTTAGGTACTAAACACTCTGGACCTCAGCTGTAACCTAGCCCTTATCACTAAACTCGGAGTCATTCAGCGTTCCGCGGCGTTCTGCGAAATACCCCTACTTTGTATTTGGACGTAAAGAGTACAATATACGATATTTTGTGTAGGCTTTCTCACTGCTTTCATATTGATCCAAGAAGCATTAGTTTGTTTAACCACGATGTTAAACATCGGCTTATCTTACTTTTAAGTGCAGGTATTCACGGAACCAATTTCAATGAACTTCTTTTTAGTCATTAATGACAGAACAAGTGATAAAATTACCTTTCTCCTAAAAGTTCTCTTCCATTTAAATCATATACACAATCATCTGCGTCTCTTGGATCATCAAATTCCTAGCCAAAGGGAAACGAAAATACAGTTCAAAGCTACGGCAGTAAGATTATAGATGCTCGATAGCTTGTATTTCCGCACTTACCACGAAACCATATCCAGCTTTGATGCTAATTTCACGCACTCTGCCAAATCCACGCACAAACCGCTCTAAATCTCTTTCTCTTGTATCTCTGGGAATCTTTCCAAAGTAGACTCGTGTGCCACCACGAGACATATTCGGCGATTTAAATTTCGTGAAAGGAAAAAATGAAGACACGAGGAAAGCAAAATGGCGGCCCCCAAGCGGAGCTTTTGAGAACGCCGATGTCCCGGATGAACACGCTGGGTATTGTTGTAAGCGGGCCCAGAAACGCTCAGCAAAAAGGGGCCTCCGTAGGTGCCTCGGCTTAGCGTAAAAAGGACCCTGTGAGCCAGCGGGAAGACATTGTCAAACATTTCTACTCAACGGTTTGCGGGGCGACAAAGGAAACTGAATTCACTTCATTATAAACCAGAATAAATATCCCTTTCTCTACTGGTGCCTGGCCCTGTGACTCACCAAGTGCCGCTGGAGAAGTACAAAATTAAGAGCAATTCTTCGTTAAGCCCCTTGAAGAACGGACGGCTTGTCCGTCCAAAATATCGGGAAACCTCAAGTCGCTTTTGTTTTTACTGTTTTGTTATTACTTTTTATAATTTTGGAATTTAAAAGTCCTGCCTTCTTTTCTTTTTTTATCCTCAGTTACAGCGTCAAAGCGGATAACTTCCAGCAACATCTACAGGAAAGCTCAACACCAAGTGCATAAAAATTCTTTTTGGCCAAATTAAATCGAATCACTGGTTTATGGCGGACTTTTTTTTAACTGCTTTTGCAGCAAGATGATTGGAGCTTATGGCTAACTTTCTCTTGATAAGATAGATATTTTGTGGCAACGAAGTGTTCAGTATTAAATTTCCTGAGGGAGCCCGCTCCCGGACCCCGCTAGAGGCTTGCGCCTTTGACGCTCGTTTAGGAAATCGGTCAGTAGTTATCCTAGATCCGCGCTTGTAGGTCTTTTACGCCTGGGCACCCCAGCTAAAATGCTTGGAAGCCCGAAGGGCTCCCTGAAATTGTCCCTAGAGCACAGCCTTGCAGCCCTGTAATTATTGGAAGTATGATACATTACATGCTATAGTTGAACGTGGAAGTGCATTTTTTGAGGACATCAGAAAAAAAGGAATGCAAATTTTACTGAACTACCCCATACTCTTAACATATATGGTGGTTAATATTGATGTTAGTTTTGTTTTGAGTAACAGGAACCCTTGTGTGTAACTTATCTTCTAGTGTATTAGTCCTTAACAGAACATCTCCGTCTCTCCTGCACACCAGAGGCGGATCCAGGGGGAGGGTTGAAGGGGTTGCAACCCCGCCCCCCCCCGGCCCCCCGCCCTTTGGGAAGTTTTCAAACTTGTCTGGTTACCCACGTCTATCCCTTTTTCATACCAAAAATAATATTATAAACTATAATATAAGTTCCAGTCCAATCGATCATTATAAGAAGATTGTAGCTATTCCTCTTCTTGACTCCTCAATTATCCAAATGCAAGATCGATCTTCTGACGAAGATCGTCACGCCCAGCCATCTGCTTTGTCTCGTGCCATCGATTATAGTAAATAGGGCACTGCAGCTGGATCGGGTGAAGTAAAAGGCATGCTGTTCTGGGAGAAAGACATTCCATCTCTCAAATCCCTTGGAAATTAGGTACGTAGATGGAGCACACTCTCGCTGTCAACAGATAGGTAGCCAGTTCCAAACAACCTTTTATTAGCACTTGGTGTTTGCGATGAAAATGCTTTCCCAAACATCCATCGCCTTCAGGTCGTTGCCTGCACCCCACCGATCACAAGCGCGGAAGCTGAGCGATTTTTTTCACTGAATCAAGACCGGCTCTAAGTCAACAATGGAGCGATTTTCTGATCTCGCAGTGATCACCATATGCACTGATCCGAGAGAGTGCTAGTTGCAGTGAATCAAGAGCCATAATGAACTGATAAATTCCCCATCTTGCGGTGTTGCGGTGATCTCAAACTGTGGTGTGTGTGGCATTTCTGATTTAAAACCTAGGGCACTTCCACTGTAGGAATCGTTTCGTGACGTGCTCCATCCCGGGCGCCGAGCTTTGCCCGTACTTGAGAACTTTCCTCGCGCCTTTTCTCCCGACCGGACTGACTGTCCCCGGTTACGGTCCCCGAGGATTGGCCTCGTTATGATGCTCAATCTAAATCGTAACGCCTGGTGACTTTCTGCTGGTGGCAACTGAAGAAGTCATTGTGATCAGCTTTTTTTGGATTATTCTGCCTTCAATCTGCTACTAAACCCAAGGCATGATTTCTATATGCTAACGATGATGTTTTCCTAATCAGAGATCTTTTTCGTTGATATGAAAAGACGGCGGGAGGAGCTTTATCGCCATGACATCGATTTTCCCCCGTCGTTGTCGATATGTCCCGTTTGTGGGACATCAGTGTCAAAGGAAAACATTGGAATTCACGTTGAAGAACATTTTACTCAGCCTTCTACATCCTCTGAGGGTAACAGATTCGATGATCTAGAAGGTAAGATAAGTATTATCGAAATCGCTCGTAAAACGTCAACAAAAGTAGCAAATTTAAAGCCTCTAGCAGGTCCCAAAGCTAGCTTGAGTTACTCTGGCTGTTAATTAATGTTTGTTTTCGTTTGATTTTAGTACAAGGAATTTCTGATTCTGCTGATTTCCGGGCTTGTACATATGGAAAATGTCAGGAGTTAGGTAATGTTCAGTATTTGACTTTTCTTGGTGCATTTAAAGACCTTAAAGTTCGCCTTAAATTTTTCTTCTCAAAATGGTCTCCTATAAATATTTCAACTCAACCATTCCTTAAATTATACATTCACAAGAAGCTTAAATGTTCCCTCTTTCAGCCAAAAGAAGTAATGTTAGGAAATTGTCTCTCACAAAGTGTTTAAATGACAACTAAATGTATACATAATAAAAAGAATTGAATTAACTAAAATAAGCTTAACTATTATTGTTGACAAATTTTAAAATGAATCAGTGGCAAAATTTTAAATATTAGATGAAAATATTGATTTTTGACTGTTGTTATTCTAAGTTTACTTTGATTCCAGCAGATGACAGAGCCAAACAATCATACATAGAAGGTCACTCAATAGTAACTGGAACAGAATTTTTACCATGTAAGCCATTAATGGAAAGTCTCTTAGTTTTTTCTAATTTTTTCTTATTTTTTCTCTGACAGAAAAACACTGATACTTTGTTTAAGCTCTGTAAAATAGGGAATACTTGATTTTGAGAATCATTTTTTGCCTTGAAGCTGAGAAGTATGCTGCCGTTAGTATGTACTTAGAACATAACCATGGTAGGGTTAGCTTTGTCCATAGAGCACTTGACTGCAGAAAGGGATTTTGATTCTAGGGACCAAACCAATACTCAGGGGCTTGAGTTAGCTGAGAAAAAAAGTTACTGCCCTTGCCATTCAAATGGCTAGGTTCTTGTGTGGCTTGGATCACCATTTAAAGAAGCAGTCCCATCTCCAGTAGGAGATGTAAATATCCAGTAGGAGATGTAAATATAGTGTCCTCAAGAAGATTGCATTTTTGTGCTAAATACATTGACAATCAAATGAAAAGCAAATTTTTAAAGCTGTTGAATGTTAGTTTGGCAAGGACAATATTGTTTTAAAAGGACCAGTTTTTCAATAAGAGAACAGAGAGGGGTTGTGTGAAAACTTCTGCTGGTAGACAACTCCAATGAGCACACCTGTATTTATGACCACAGCCACAGGTCTGGTCTTAAGTTAGTCCATCTATGGGTAGTTTGATTTTAAAGGGAATTTTTCTCAAGGAAAAGGTAGATCACCACTCATATTTATACAATTTAAAAACATCATCCTCAATGTCACTTTAAATTTCAGCTTTTAAGCTACATGTGCTACCCCTACAGCTTAAACATACAGCATGCTTTATTGTCCTTTTTCTAAATTTTTTTTTGCTGAAAAGTATATTTAAACCTGATATAAAATAACATGTGTTATTTCATATTAGAAAACAAGCAAAATATTCAGAAAACATAAATTAAAAGTACAATACTTCACTAGTAATTATTAGATAAAAATAAGATTGTTTAATTGCTAGAATCAAAATCTAAAGAGCTTTTACTTAAGACTACTTAACCCTTAAAACCTTAATATAAAATTACGTGTATAAATTCTCATATATTTGTCTTTTGACTCCATTTATTTCCTGTGGAAGTAGTAGAAACTAAATTGTTGAAGTGTCAATATTTAATTCATCTTTTGTGATCATGTTCTTAATTCTCATGACCACTCTGTTCCATAAAGCATTGCTATTACATGGAGAGACTTTATGCTGATCTATCTCATGGCTTAAAGGGTTGAGTCATTCATAGCATTACATAGTTCTGGAGCATTTCACAGAGTTCAAAGAAAGTCCATTTAACAGCTTGCCCTTTGGACAAGCAGGAATGATAAGCAATTAATTTGTCAGATCAGCTTGAAGAACAGCTGTAATTTAAATCCCCATGGATTTATTTAAGGATTGTAAACGATTTGTTTGACAGTACTTCAATCTGGAATTTAAGTTTCCCCCAAAAATTCACTCACCTGTCGGACAAATTAAGAACAGAATTCAGTAGCCCCACAAAATCCACTAAACCTGGGCTATTCAGACACAGTATTTCTCTGCATGCTTTTTCATATGGTTTGCAAACCACTACATTTCAAAATACCCTGAGGTTCATGGAGTTAATACTTTGTCCCNGGACAAATTAAGAACAGAATTCAGTAGCCCCACAAAATCCACTAAACCTGGGCTATTCAGACACAGTATTTCTCTGCATGCTTTTTCATATGGTTTGCAAACCACTACATTTCAAAATACCCTGAGGTTCATGGAGTTAATACTTTGTCCCATCTCAGTTTCTACTTCAGACTGGGATGACCATATCTTTGCTCACACTTTGGAAGACCAAGCAATAAGTGATTCCACTGGCACTAATCTTCTTCAGGCTCCTGTGACTTTTCATCAGCAAGAGCAGTACGACATGCCATTAATCTATGCACAAAGTGATCAGGCACTGGCTCAGGAACTTGAAAAACAGGTGCTATAGACCGTCTCCATTAAAAAACTTACTTTATAGGGGTAATTGAATTACTGGTAAACTTAGTATTTTCATTTGTGACCCAAAAGATCAAAAGACCCGACTGGCTGGAGGCAAGCCAGCAGACTATTTATAAGTGTGACCAAGGAGTTGAACTTGGAACTTATGTATAAACTGACAAAAAATCCATCTAGCAGTTAAGCTAGAGCAGTTAAGCTCTAGATTACAATTTTAGCACTCTAACAGCTTGTCCGTGCTGCCTCCTGCCGGGGACATCATGTGTAGCTTCTGGGGACATCATGGTTATATCGGACGGTTTTCTGTCCCGCTGGTAAAGACTATTTCATCTTTTAGGCTTTTTTAGTATACACTGTACATGCATTATTAACATGTATTTTGGTTTCTTGTTGTGTAGGAAATGGAACGACTTGAAAACCAGCCATGTGAATGGGATGATCACATGTTGGCTCAAGCTCTGGAGAGTGAACAAAGAAGAGAACTTGAAGAACAGCGACAGCAAGAAGAGGAAGAGTTCAAAAAGCTGCAGGTATAAGAACCATTCCCCAATAATGAAACAAATGATTGATTCATATTTGTTTATAAAAACCTTTTTTTTTCTTTTCTCTCCTGAAGTAATATGTTACCCTTAAAGCTCCCTTAAGTGGGTGCCCTCAGAAAGTAAATTAATGGTCCAGAATTAAAGCCGACCAAGTATAACAGTGTTTTTTAAGAGAGCTTTGTCTGTATGTCAAAGATAAGAAGGAGGACACGTTCAACTTAAGTGATGGTCTGCAAAAGGATTTTGCAATCCTGTCATCCGGAACAAAATTTTCCAGCAATCCTGTCATTTAGGCCCCAGTTGTTCAAAAGGTGAATAATGCTGTCCAGTGGATATATCTATATCCAGTGGATAGCACAATAATAAATTGGTTTCCCAAGTACTTATCTCACCCTAATTGTTAAAACAATGGATAGCACCATCCATCAGATAAATCACTATCCAGTGGATAAGTATTGGGGAAACTGATTGCGTTATCCATTTAACAGAGATTTATCTAGTGGATAGCGTTATCCAGGTTTGGACAACTGGGACCTGCTGGATAGTGATTTATGCAGTTGATAGCACTATCTAATGTTTAAACAAATTAGAATCCTATATTTTCCACAATTTAAGGGCTTCATGTAAAAGCAACGTCTTCAAAACGAAAATTAGGTGACCGGGGCATGATATTTTTTTATTTCAATTTAGTTTCTTTTCTTGCTGGCCACTTACGATGAACTTGCATTTTCACTTGAGTAACCTCATCATTGATGGATTTTTTCTTATATTAAGGCAATGTATGGTATGTCATCCACCGGCGGCTATGTTTCTCAGTACAGTCGGCACCTGGAGAGAGAGGTTGCACGAAACAAGACATCTGTTGGTGACTATTATGCCAGGAAAGCAGAGATGCTAAAAATTTTGATGACCGATAATGACAGTGGAGAATCTTGTACCAGGGGTAAAAAATACATTCTTTATGTACAGTTGTACCATGTATACAAGGATGTGATCTACGAAAAAATCCTACGGGGCTCAATACTCTAAACCTATGAGATCCAGGGTGTCCAGCATGTGATTTCGATATAAGAACTGAGTTTTCCTAGTTCCTCAAGAGCAAAAGTATGGCACCAGGGGCCTCCAGGCACTGCCAGAGCACACACCCCCTTAAATTGTGCTGTTGTTATTAATTTGAGCCGTCCTGTGGCATTGTTTCCTCAGAGAAGAAACTCTGCTCCACCAAGGAGCTTATAACCCAGAGCTATCACCTTCTATGAACTCATTTCACAACCTTGCTGCCAGGTTCTCTCTCTTACCCATTGAGATGGGTAGGAAAGGACCGTGGGAATGAGGTTGCTCATTTCACTGCACTTTCACCAACCAGTTGATTTTTTAAAATGGTTATGATGCAAATTTAGAATATTATTTTTTGAAGTCCCACAAACCAGTCAGCAAAATCTACAGGCCTTTTTACTAACATTGCATTTTTAACCTTTCGGTGGTGTTTAATTTTCTTTTTTGATCTCTTACACTTTAAATGTGCTCATAGATGGAGTGGAGTTTCCATTTCCAAAATGTTCTTTAAAATGTATCTAAAAATAAACTGGTCCATGAAACGCTAGGGCAGGTTGTGGGCTCCTGGCTCCACTTTGACTTTCTTCAACCTGGTGTTTTTGGTACCACCATATACTGTTGGAGAGTAACCCAACGATTGACTAGCACCACCCTCCTTAGGGTGGGGGAGGGGGGGCGGTAGCAACTCTCCTTGGTGCCTGATGCTACAGTAAGGGGGTGTTTACATGAGAAAACTCGCACCGGTGCGAGTTTCATACTGGGATGACTTTTTCATTTCATATCGCGTTTACATAATGACCGGGTCATTTCATATCTCGTTATTTGAAGGTACACTTCATGATGATAAAATACACGTGTGATTCAAAATTGCAACATTATGCATGCGCTACCCGTTCCAGTCTACTGAGAGACCGATTTCACACCGAAACGGGTGGACGTTTCACGTTTACATGATACTGTGGCGAGATTTCGTACCGGAGTGAAATTCTTGCCCCAGTACAAGAACCGGGGTGAGTGAACTCACGCCGAGGTGACTCGCGCCGGCATGACATTTTGTGGTGGTATCATGTAAACAAATATAGAGCCATGAGAGGGAACCAGTGAACTCACTCTAGGGCGAAAGTCGCCCCGGTGTCATGTAAACACCCCCTAACTGGCTCAAGCGCTGGCCATTTTGGCCTCATGGGTTAGCTGGGCTTCTCTCTTACTCTTATGGTTAAAAAGTCTACTGTGTGTGTTTGCCCACAGGTATCATTCCTCAGCTTCATCATCGCTATGAGATGGGTGTTAGTGGTACAAAGGCTTCATGGCTTGCAATTGACACAGATCATTTTGCTAGTACAGTGGGTGATGCTGGCTGGGGCTGTGGATACAGAAACCTGCAAATGCTGATCTCTGCACTGTTGAAAATGGAAATCTACAGACCTGTTATGTTAAGTGGTGAGTACAGTAGAATTCTGGGGTGCTTTGATACCATTTGTGCAAACCATTCAGTCAGAAATCTTGTTAATCTCATACCCAGATCTCTAGGTGACAAAGCCCAAGGCGAGATTTGGTCAAGTAAGAAAATTCAATTTTTCTGATTGGCTAGATTGCGAGGGAGTGACGTAAGTGCTGACAAGGGATCTGTGTATGAGATTAAAATCTTGGGCATAAATTTTTCATAACAGGCCATTTCTGAGTTCAAAAACTCTCACTTTCACAACAAGACTATTTAAAATTCAAAACCTTTCTTTTGAAAATGGATTTTATTTGCATACGAATAAAAGATCATTTTCATATCGATAGCTTTGCACTTAGCCTCACTTTGAAACAGAAGCTTGAGGCAACTCAGAGATGCTCTAGCAATAAAGACCTTCTGGGAGAAGGTGCCACATCAAAGTTGAGCCAAATGAGTAGGAGAGATTAATAACAGCAAAAAATAAAATTGCATTGCCTGAAATGACAGCCCATGTTTCTTGGAGCTTTTTAAACGGAATGGCATAAGTCATTTGATTTTCGGATCAGAATTTTTGGTTTTCCTTACATATAGTAGGTCTAGCAGCCAAAATAGTCCCAGTTATCGGCAGTTTAGGGTTAAATCCGCTTGGAGCAAATTTGTAACTTTCACATCTCCTTTAAAGAGGACATATGTCACAACTTCTGCAACCTACGTTGCAGCCAGACTTGTCACTTGAGACCTACATGAGAACTTTATATCTATATCGCGTATTTAGACCGTCTGTGATGCAGGCTAAACTTCTGCAGCCCAAAACTATTTAGTTTGTAATTTGCGGTACGTTTTAATCCCAACAATCTTAGAAAGTGATTTTTGTTTATTTTATTTGGATTATATATGCAGTTGGAGACAAAGTGCCCTCCATCCCACGAATTCAACAATTTATTGAGTCAGCTTGGACAAATGGTGAGTCATTTGATGGAATTTGAAACCATCTACTTTACCATTTTTACCTGAACCACTCCAAACTGCCAGTTGGGATCCACGTCTCATATACCGCTTGTGACGTCATCATTTGTAACGGTCATCATTTTTAACGCCGGCTAACAGGCCGGTCACTTTCAGCCGAGCCAACTCTTTGCAAGAACGTGCCCGTATTGACCCACGCGGGATTGCCCACTTTGTTAGCGCAAGAAAATTCATCCTTTTTGGCGGTATAAATTAATACTTCCTTGGCCAATAGCGTAAAATATGTATTTTCTGTATGAATTAAATTTGTTTTGTAGTGCTATTTCACACATTAGAGAGCTTTAGATTCTAAGACGAGGACCACTACGAGAACGAGATTTTCCCAATACTAAGTGGTGCGAGCACGAACCAACGTCATTTTGGCGGGAAAATGTGGTAGCTGTCGTCAGTCTACTACGAGTTTTAGCGAGAATGTGGTAGTGGCGAAAACAAGTTATAAATTTTATGATTTAGCGATCAGGAGTGGGCTTTACCTCCTTCAACGGAACTAAGCGTGCTAACTTTTGTGGTGAAAAAAAGAACAATGAAGCTTTCCGGGGTGTCTGCTTTTAGAGAATAGGAGAGACAAATGTCGTGCCGTAGGCGTCCTCGTCCTTGAATCCAAAGCTCTCTATTGCCTCATCAAATGCATCCTGCCAGCAGAGCTTTTCTTTCGCTCGCTTGGGTTTGGCTTCCTTGAAGCCTCCTTTTTTCCTCCTCACTCAAGAAGACAAAAGGAGGCTCTTCTTGTAGGGTGCATCTAATGTTGCCATGATATCTTGAAGGGTTTGACAGACAAGGATCCGAACAGCTTGGCTGCAAACTGATCAATACCAGAAAGTGGATTGGTGCAACAGAAATTGCAGCGGTGTTGAGATCTCTTCAGATAAGGTAGACGTAATAACCCAGGGCTAAAAATCTTTTTCGGACGGTGGCTCGGTCAAGTTTAGTTCCTGACCAGTCAAGATATTGAAAACGAAAAGTTACTGAATGACCGCTAGTAAACTTGAAACTACCATCTGCTTGTTTAAGTCGTTGCTGGAGCGTGTAAAAAGCCGCTTATTGGACAAAATGGCTTAAAACGTAACCAAAGATAGCCTAAGATTTACAATTGAGGATTTCAACGTTTGTTCAAGAAGGAGAGTGTGTGTGTGGCCGGTCAACATGACGTGGACTGAAGTTTTTGGCCGGTCAAGGCGCCATTCTGGCCGGTCATTGTCGGATGACTGGCCGTTATTTTGAGCCATTAAAAGAACAGATGCTACATGTGTGAAAACAACCATGACATTTCTCAAGAGAGGATGACTTGGATGCAAACCTGTAATCGAATGTTTCTTCGTCTACACAATGTGTCGCTGGAAATGCTCAATATTAATTGGGTTAATAATCATTCTGGCGGAACATGGACAAGTTTAAGCTAAACGCCTTAAATTTTAGAAATGCACAGGCGTAGAGTTTCATTTGAACAGATGGTGAAGCTTAAGTATACGCTCATATAGCTTCTTGTTTTAAGAGTGTCGAGGGGTTGACCAAAACACTATAAAGAAATGTGCCACGTATAAACCCAAGAAGTAACTGAATTGAACAAAGAATTAGCGTAACTCTCTCACGCTCCCGACGGTTCAGGAGGCAGGGGAAGCTTGCACGCAGGTTAATCTTCCTTGTGTGTAGGCATTTGTCCTTTTCTAGGATATCCCCTAACAGAACCAAAGTCAACTCTACGTTCTCCATTTTCAGTAGAGAATTTCAATCTGCAAAGTTGCTGTTTTGTTTCTGATTTTTTGCCGTTCTCGTTGCCGTCGTCGTCGTGGTTGTGCGGATTTTGCCACGGGATTCAAAGGTTCTTCCAGCTTCGCGTCACATAATGTCTGACTTAAGTGAACATTTTTTTTTTGCAGAACCAAAATAATTGACTTTCATCAAGCAACAGGCTGTGACGGAACACACCCAGAAATGTTTTCATGGATCAAGCGTTACTTCAGCTGTAGCGTCAGTTCCACTGTACTTCCTACGAGTTCATCAGTTCTTCGGCAAACCTCTGTTCCACCACTTTACCTTCAACATCAAGGTTAGCTTACAATAGAGACGTATTTGTATTTTTTGTAGTTTATTTTTACTCCATCCTTTAGATAATACATTAGGTGTACAATATCAATTAGTACAAGGTTGATTAAACTACGGGTACATAATAAAAAAAAAGAAAGTTAGAATGGAGAAGGGCACATTATAGAAAACTAATTATGGCCCTTTAACAGGATTGACTTTATTCTAATATAGCTTTGTTATTCATTAAAACAGCTTCAAAGGACGCGGCCATCATCATCGCTGACCGCTGGCCGCTCATCCTAATCATCCTCATCCATTAGATTCTAAGACGAGCGCTACTAAGAGGACGAGATTTTCAGCGTCATTTTGGCGCGAAAACGTGATAGCCTTCATCATTGTACCACGAGTCGTAGTGACGAAAACAAATTTATCAAATGTTATCATTTGCGATCGCCGGAGGGCTTAACCTCCTTCAATAAAAATAACCGTGTTAACAGCCTGATTTCTAGTGAAAAAAAAGGGAAAATGAAGCTTCCTGAAGTGTCAATTTTTACAACACGTGAAAAAAAGGCTTAGTCAAAACTTTTCCTCGTAGATGTCCTTGTCCCGGAATCTAAAGGTCTCTAGTTCTGAAACCCAAAAAAAAACTGTTAAAAATATAACTGTCACTATTCACTTGTTATCTGGAAGAAATGTTTTCCTAATAGTTTAATCCGTTTTCAAGATCAGTCCTTTTTTTTCTTTGTTACACTCTTGAAAAGGTGCAATTTCGCGATTGTGAAAGTTAGTTTCAAGAACGTCCATAAGCTTTTTTGCAAAGCAGAGTCTGATTTGTGAGCCTTCCCGTTTTACCTGTTTATGCTGATTTTTGTAGCGGTTTTGTGACAACACCTTTCAGCGTTTAGATTTCTAGGGATCCCTTAGCTTATGTTCAGCTCTTGCACCGACATGAAAACCATATCGGAATGGGCTTCTGTGCAACGGTGATTTTGGCGCGATTTCTGTAACGGAGCGTCGCGCCGATCTTGAAAGTGGAATATCGGATGGATTCTGTGTCACACTTTAGAAAATCTCACTTTGGTGCAATGTGACCAGGACTGTAGCGGAAGGGAATAAATAGGAGCGAGGACTGGAATCACTGAGACGGAAGTAAACATTCAGGAGTAAGGCTGGACTGGGATTTAGTTTATCAAATGCCCTCGGCCAACTTCTCGGCGGCACAATCTTCGATGTGTGCGAACTACTTGTTGCAGTTCTGTGCCGTTTACCCTTTCACTGCTAGAGTGAATAATAGAGTTTTGTAAGGTAGCTATAGCTATTGAGTCTGTGGACGAAATCCTATGATGTGACCATTCAAATGAAATCTTTCTACCTGTACTTACACATGGTGCTACTTGTTTTTCAAAATTTCACAAAATGAAATTTGAGATTTTTTTGTCGAATTTTGCCTTTGGCCACATTTGGCAGTGAAAGGGTTAATGTTCATACTATACAGGTTAGCTTTTCGTGTCAGCACAAAAAGCTGTCCGCTTAAGTATGAACATAGCCTTAGATTCGGTTTGTTGTATGACTCCAATCCTTTACTTATTTCCAGGGCACAGCCGGTTAGTGATTGGAGTGGAAGAGCATTCTGGGAAGGATGGAGGCTTATATCTTCTGTTGTTCGATCCTTCACACTCAGCGAAGCAGATGCAAAGCCTGTTGGAAGATATTCAGAGCAGTAGTTCGGGCTTGCGGCATCTGCGTCGGTCTCTCAAGCAGATGAGATGTAAGCAGTACCAAATTGTGTACGTTGACGGCATCATGGAACCCTCGGAAATGGAAGAAAGTAAAACTATGGATTCTCTGAGAGTGCCGTGACTAAAATAAAGTTAAATGTAAAAACTCGGTACAAATTTAAAGGAATATATCTTCTCAGTACTTTGTAGCCGCCACCATCCGTGGGAACTGGTACTGATAACTCTTCTCCTCCTTATCGAATTTGTTCCAGTCCCTTTCGTCCGCTCTGCGTTGTTCAACCTTGTTCCCAGTCTCTCTCTCTTCTCCCCGCCAACTGAGTAACTGAACAGGAGAAGAACAACCCTGGGACGACGCTATGCGTCATTTTAAAAATGAGTCTTAAAAAGTAACCATATTGTATGATAATTTACCCTGTAACTTAAGAATGGAATGTAAAGAGGGACAGATACACGTAAGTACTGCCATCCAAGAATTGTGTTTTAACTTTATTTATTTCTTCAAATTTAGAATTGGATACATTTATTTTAGTTACTTCAAATGGAACAAAATAAATAGTATTTATGCAATGAAGTTGCGTAGTTTGCGATTTTCTAGTATTTATTTCGTGTTGTGTCATCAACTTCATTTCATAACATCTCTCATGCGTGTTAATATTATTGGAGAAAACCTTTAACACGGTGGTTTAAATTCGCGTTTAATTTGACGCGAAATTAGATCAGAGAACGCGAATTGATTTCCGAACAATCTTTTTTTTAACTATGTGGAAATAGGTATCATGTCTTTTGGATACTCGCTCAAAATCACACCTTTCACGTGCAAATTTGACTTGGGCGAGTAAGAGCTTGAGGGGCCTGGAACCTGGATCGCTTTCCATGCGATTTCTTCCTTGCAGTGTCTCGTCCGCTCATTTTCATTTCTTTCATCGGTTTAGGAACAGCATCTTTTTTCTTCCATAGCAGTCTTTTGTGTTCCTCTGGCAACCAACGCATATGCAATGGACATCCAGGAAACCCCAAATTTGAAAGGCTAAGAGCTGCGCATGCGCTTTCTGCATTCTCCAAGACGACATGCGCACTACATTCACTCTGAAAACTGATTTTCCTAACCGAGCCGAAATGGCCGAAAACTCTCTGCAGAGATTCTTCAGTGTAGCAGGGAACAGTGCCGTGATTTCGCCAGCGGACGCTTAACGTCGTCTGCGGCGGAGTGTGTTGAACGCTATAGAGCCTTGTGTAGTCTCTAACGGACTTCTCAAGCAGACTTTGTTGGTAAATACTCAGTGGCCGCAGCGCAGAACGCCATTTGGCTGCAGTAGGATTGTTTGGACTGTATAGTTCAAGAGCTCTGAGAAGTCCTGAAAGAAGAAGAAGACACTGGCTCAGACAGAACCTTTTTTATATGGCGCAATCCGTGAGCGGGCAAAATGAAACGAATCCTGCGTTGTGATTGGCTACCTGGGTCGATGTAGGCCGCTCGGGATTTCTTGTGTTGGTCCCGTAAGAAAAGTTCTTTTTTTGGCCCATAATAAATCGTTTATTGACCAAGCTTACTAAAGCAGAGTTACTCTCTACTTTTCGCAAAAACTTTTCGAAACCTACAACAAGCTGATTTGTTTTAAGGCAGGTTTTATTCGTGCGTGGTAAAACAGGCAACGTCGCTGTTCATGATCAACTCGTTGTGCAGCAATGTAGCAAAAAACGTTGCACGATTTTGCTGCACGTTTTACAATATCTTTAGTTTCAAATGGCGCTGACATACCTGGAGATTCTCTTGAAACACCCTTTAAATTGCTAACAGGTGGTCGGTTGTCAGATTCGTTTTTACTGTTTCTTCTAGGCCGTAACAAGGAATCGTCTCTGTTGTCGTCCACTTTTTCAAATTTTTCTAACACTTGCGTTATTTGATTCGCCTTTTCCTTTACGCAGCTTCTTTTCAACCAAAGCTTCTCGCGAGGTTTGCGTAATGGAACCACCGTGATAACATGCGTCAAACTGAGAGACATTTTGAGAAACTAAAAGTTGATATTAACTAGCACGACCTAGTGTTTGTGCTGACATATCGAAAATTACTTTGCGTCACAGTTAGAGGAATGTCTCGCGCTGATATTGTACCCCCTAAGTGATCTCAGTACATAAACTCTGTTATCGTTTAGTAGGTTTTACGTATAGACACAGATCTTACTTTTTTATTCTTCGCCTATTCTTTTGTTCTATTTGACCGTATGGACAGCCTAATAGTGGTAAAGATATGTTCTTGTCAGTACTGTACTTTTAATCGCGTTTTCGACCTAAAACACAAGCTTAATTTTGCGTGGCAGGCGTCAAAAGCCCAGGGGTTGGGGGCAGGGAAAAACGGACGGACATTACCTTTTGCGTTTTTTCCCTCCCCTCCCCTCCCATTTTTTTGCCTGCTCACAGGCTAGGGTGATTTTGTTTTTGTTTTTTTCCTGTGTGTGTTGACACACATTTGCCTCGCTTTCAGTATTAGCCCCGCGTTCACGAGGGTAATGACACCTTCGTCTTTTCGCAATATGACATAGAATTATCAGTAAATTTCAAATATTCCTAATTCTTTTTACCATTTTTCTCGTTTATTTCTTTTTCTTTTTTGCTTTATACTATTTATTGCATAATTTTCAATTTCCAAGCTATATGCGCGCGTTTCGATGAAACGTCATTAGCATTTTAAATGAAACATTACATCACAAATCTTAGCCTGCGCGCCAACACTCAAATTAGTTGCATACTCACAAAAATCCGCGCACCTACACGCCGTCATACACTGAACTCGAGATTAAAATCCGAAGTCTGAAGTATGGTTGCCCTTTTGCACAGGGTGACCTCGCTTGGACAGTTATCACTTCAGTTTTTGAGATGCGTCATATTTTAAACAGAAAATTAAACGTCAAAGTTGTTACGCTTCAACGAAAAATTTCCATCCCGGATGAAGAATTAAATCTTCATCCATATTTGCGCATGCGGCTTCAAGAAGGGCGACGAACAATCAATGGCTGTTCGTGAATGCGGTGCAAGCAGTGGCAGGGTTCAAGGTTTTCCTGTCAAGAAAACGTCAGGGTCAAGAAAGAAAAAGCGGTTTAGAAAAAACAAGATATCTCCGGCTGAGAAGATTGCATGGGAAGAATGCGATGAGGAAAACGCAAAGAAATCTCACGCACCGTTAATGTTTACTTCAGTTCGCGATCTTCAAAGGCTTCAAACTTAAAGGGCGATTTCTCCATTGAAGTCTTCTCACCACGATAAACACGATGGAGAACGTTCCCAACACAACTCTTTCTGTGAGAATGAAGAGGAGAAATTTGGATCATTTACGTTTCTGTGACACTGCCCACCTACCCCCTCCCTAAACCAACATTAACATTTAGGTCTTACTTAGGGCAAAATGTTGGCTAAGGGGAGGGGTGGGTGGGTAGTTTCCCAGAAACGTAAAATGATCCGAAAGTTCGAACCACTGAAGACGGTCGTTTACGGACAAAAAGATTCCCTTACGGGGAAAGGAAAATGAGAGTGAAAAACCAGGTTCCTCGACGTGGCATGACAAAGAAAGCAACGTTAACCCGAGTTCTGGGTCTGTGGATTCAATGGAAAATTCCAAACTTCCATTCGGTTCATTCTCAAAGGTATCTTTCAAATGGAAAAACGTACTTGGAAAATTTTAGCCCGGCAAGACAACAGAGAACTGTACTGAAGGGTCTATTGCCATTGACGACCTTTGTGGACAAGGTTTCAACCAAGGAGACACTGAGTCAAAGCAACAGTCTCCTCATAATCTTCATGGGGAACGGAAAATTTGAATGTTCAGGGTGATCATCGGTCTAAATTTCCACCTAAGTGGAAGAGGAAAAGGAAGACGAAAAACAGTGGTATTGGACTTGCCAAAAAGCATCAGATCAAAACTTCTGAACAGGTGGAGAAATGTCCGCCACTGGGAGGAAGGGGTAGGAGATGGACGATTCTTGCAAAAATGTTCAAGGTAGTGAAGTGGTGGCTACCAGTGTAAGAGAATCTAACTCTGTTGACAAAGACAGAGAAAAAGGTAATCCTGGAGAGTGCCCGGATTCTCACGGCACCTACCTCCACAGTCTTCCGATCCTCGAGCTCCAGAGACCACAACGAAAAGTTAGATGTCAAGTCTGGCAATTGGCGTAAGTTGACGTTTGGACGAAACAGCGGAAAGAAGGCAGAAAAACCTGGGATTGAACAGCTTCATCCTGGCTTTAAGAATCTAAGGAAAACCCTGAGGATATGTTGAAACCCCAACTCTATGACCCTGAAGAGGTCCTCCCTAAGCTAAAAAAGGCAGAAGCTACACCATGAAAAAACAGCGAAGGAACTGCCGCCATTGAGGGATGGTGCCGAGGTTGAAAGAGGTAGAACAAGTTTAAAACCTTCCTTCCTGCCTCGAAAGGTGTGGGACTAAAGTTTTTTCTATCCTTAAAAGAACTAAAAAAGAACTAAGATCTGATATTTACGGTTTGCGTGACCCTGTCAAGACATATGACATTGCAAAGCATCTAGCATCATTGTAATGTCTTGTTTGGAGAGGGGGGTAGCCCAACGTCAGCCATGTAACCATTCAGGTCAAGAATTGTCCACAATGTAGGGAAAGTGCTGGAAAGAGTGAACAAGGGGTTACAGGAAATAGGGAACAGGGGTACGGGAAAATCAATTGATGAAAGAAGATTTTGAGACAACTCATTACTCATCTGCTGGTTCCGGAGAACAGCCTCGCGTTAGGCCTTTAAGTGAAATGGCATTCAGGAGGGAAACCCAGAAAACAAGTGTGAAAAGACTTTATCCTGGATTCCAGAATCTAAAGAAAGACTTGGACCACCCAAACAGTATGAGACGGACAATAGAGATAGGATGGAGACATCTTTGTAGAGGAACGAAAGCAAAGAAGATGGAAATAGAGGAACCTGGAACCCAATTTAAAATCCCAGTTGGAAAAGATAGAGTAAAGAAGTCACCGAAAACTGGTACCCAGCAACTTTACCCAGCTGGCTTTGAGAACCTTAAGAAAACTGTGGAGCAGCCGAATAGAGTAAGATCAAAGAACGGCGGGACGAAAAGGAGCCTAAACTTGTTTAGTCGGAATAATAAAATATTAGAGAGAAACGATCGTGTCAAACAGGGAGAAGTAAATCATTAAACATAGTACGTAACGCAATGAAAACCCTGAGCCCTCCCGTATGCAAGAGATTTTGATGCATTTTTTACTTATTTTGATAATCTTTTACTTCTAAGAATCTTGCCGACATTGGCAAGTTGAAAATATCGACAAGAAGTAAGAAAATGATCCACAAAAAAAAAAAAGAGCGAGAGAGAATGCTTCGAGCCTTAATTTTGAAAATCTCGAAGCTTTCCCTCTTTTTTCTTGTAGATTATTTTTTACTTCGTGTCGACAGAGGTTCAGACATTGAAAACTGTCTTCTTTACTTTCCAAGCCCTATGACGTAGGGCTTGGAACGTAAAACTTTGTCTTTGAAAGACAGTTATCGATGAAATGACGTGCCTGAAAGGCCTGTTATTAAAGATGTACTGAGTACAGAAGATTTTCGTTGATAATAAAGAAGCAAATAAACTGATTGATGTTCGCGTGTTGTCTGATTCTCTAATTTATTTATCTCGTGTAATTGTTTTCAGCTCTCTTAGTCTGCGAAAACGGCCATCTCTCCTCACTCTTCACCGCTAGGGAATTTCCGAGGCTACAGCTCTCACTTCTTGTTTCCTTTTTCTTTCTTTAGTGAGTTAGGCGGAGGAAAGGTCAATGACCAGGGCGTGTGCTCTTCAATAAATCGAAATGGATAAAGACTGAAAACGTTATGACAGTTATGGAGGGGTTTTGGCAACGAAATTGCTTACATTTTTTTTCCAGATCAATGTAATTTCTGGCTGGGAGTGATAAAGATCAAACGCGAGATAGTGGCGGAAATCGAGCCTACTTTTGTGCGTGACCATACATTGATAATAGAGGGCCATGAAAAGCTCTAAGCCCATAAATGAAGACTGAATTGCTCATTTTTGTACTGGGAAATGGGACCAGATTAACGTCCGACTAGGAGGTACCTTGATAAATAGTCAAGGACTAATATCTCGTACACGGTTGCCTTTCTTGACGTGAACGCGTGACATTTGCATGAAGTAGGTGGATGGCTGCAAGTACGGTGATATCAAACCCAAAAGTTTTTGCATCGATAAAGGCTGCGGAATTTTCTTACACATGGTGATATGCTGTAAAAGATTTGTACTCGAGAGCGCCCATCCAACCTCGTTCCCAGGGTCCTCTCTTACTTGGACCTCCTATCTTCCCCGACGGGGACCGAGTTGGAGAGGACCCAGGGTCACCTTCAGTCAACTCCCTTTATAGCGAACACTGTAGGGACCTCGAGTTCGAGTTAGTGTCCTCATTAGCGAGAATTTGTAATAGCCGGAGTTTATTTCAGTCAAACGTCTGTAAATTATTTTTAATTGGGATTAAGCTGCTGTCCGTATTATCGCAGAGATGCCAACCCTTGGAGATCTTAAATCTGTAGACTCTTTTTTTTTTTAATGCCCCCCCCAGAATTTCAACGGACAACCCCCCACCCCGACAACAATGGGAATGACTTAACACATTATATGAAGTCTTCCATGAAGTACATACTGTCAAAATTCGCAATCATCGTTTTGATGCCAGAAAGAATCTTTGTCAGTGACTAAATACGTGTAAAAATGCCCCAGAAACCGTACTGCGAAAAAGAAAAAATTCTAATTTTGAACTAAGAATGGGCTAAATCTCAAACTAAGGCACAGAAAAGCCCAAAAGATGATTTCATCCGGGAGATATGGTGACCCGTACGGGAGAGCGGGAGATTGGTGGATTCGGTGCCGTATCCTATGTATGTTATCGGGGTGTCCGTTATAGCGGGGTGTCCGCAAGGCAAAAGTTGACCGTACTCAAAATTCAGAAACCGTCAAAGAATCTGTTGATAATTTGTCTTTC